ATAGAGATAATATTCTTTTCATGAATATTAAAACCAATAGATTATTAATGATCGTCAAATCGATGAGAATTGTGAAAAGTTAGGAATGCGTTTGATAATGCATCACTTCAGATTCTCATTAAAAATAAGCTTTGAAAACATATCTTGAATTTCTTTTTCGAAATCATTGTGCTTTGTTCATTAGGTAATATGGATAAATGACTATTGATTGTTATACTTGATTCAACTAAAGTATGTTTTCTTTGTGGTGCAAACAGTTTTGATGCTAAAGAGAGAGATAAACATTGACTGAAGCAATTGAGAATTATCAAAAATTAATAAGAACGCTCGTTTTTAATCAACTACGCCAATTTTTTCTTATTAACTCTCAGATGATGAAAATGAATAATTTCTCTCATGCTAGATTGTTTGTGTAATTCATTACTATTGTTTTAATACGTTTTCTTTTTCATCCAATATAAACCAGAAAAAAATACCATAACTATACATCATTTACCGTCACTACAAAACACCAAGAAAAGTTAAGAAAGCATCCACTTTTGTAAACTGATTTTCTTTTTAAACACGAAAAAAATTTATTTACTTGAAAAGCAAGCAAGAACTTCTGTTGGTTCTTCATCATACTCATTTAAATGTACATCTTCTTCAATATTAGAATCATATTGTGAATCAAGGCTTAACATGATTATTCTTCGAGTTTGGCAAAAACGTTGTGCATGCGACCTTTCAACTTATGAATTTCTTCTTTCTTTGCTCACACGTGTCGACTCTTCACGTGTACCTAGAGAAAAAAGCAAAATAAATCTCTATCGATTTAGATATCGATCATAAATTTCAACTTTATAAAAAAAAAGAACTTTTTAAATTGATGCTATCTGTTTATCAAGTTAGAAGTTACAGATTAGACAAGGTAAAAAGAGCTTTTTGCTTTCAAAGCAAGTATTAGTTATAGGGCTTCGAATTTACTCATTTCAACTTCAATTTTTGATAACTTTCTTATAGTAATACTAAAAAATTTATTTATTTATCAGACTTATCACTTTAATCGATAGCATCAATAAACTCGGATAATCGGTAATTTCATCTAGGTTCCATAGCATCTGTTAAAATTCGAACACATTACTAAATTTCATAAAAAATTCTGATGATAGCTGGTTCACTAAATTTATACGATTTTTAATAGAATTCAACCAGAAACATGGTTAATAATATAACAAATAATTTAAATTATTTTCACTCATGAAAGATTTAACTAACCTCGATATTGAATTCTGGCTTCAGTTCGTTGACCATAAACCATGATTATATGTACAATTTTTTTTCCATAATAATGAATGAATACACATTAAATCGGAATCATAAATAATCGCAATATTGAAATAAGGCGATGTTGGACAATTAAGACAAATACGTGCATCTCCAACTATATCATTATAATATGAGTGTGGGTGTGGGGAGGACGGACATACGCGTCTACACACACACACACAAGTCAATTTATAAATTTTATTAGTTATAAAAGCTAAATCTTTTTCTGACGGTGGCGTGAAAACATGAAAGTGGCTTTTTTCCATTTATATTCGCAGTCGAATTAGGCAGCTACTCCTTTTTGCTGACTGATTAGTTTAGACCAACAGAAAAAAACAAGATGGTAATAGGTGTTTGTTTTATGCATGTTACTTTTCATATTTTATTGTAATGTTTTTTTCTGTAAACAGGTTAAACATCATTCTCCACTAAGGAACCAATTGAAACATTACCATTATTATTATCACGCACAGCTGACTCATTTGATGATAGAGTGAAACTAGATGCACGTAATGAAGGCAATAAACCTGTATTTCTTTAGTCAAGTCTTTTTGCTATGTGTTTTTAGGTGCAAAAGAAACTGATCATGACTCATTTGATTCGGATGATGATGAAGAAGATGACAGTTTTAGATTTTCACTAGATGATAAAGACGATGATTTGCCACACAATGAACCATTACATTTAATACCGTTGCCATCAACTACAACTTCAAAAAAACGTGTATCAAAGCCAAAACAAAAAACTCCTGTTCCTGAACGTTTACGTTTTACAACCGATCGTGGCGAAGGCAAAGTTGAAGATCAGCAACTCGATTTACGTTACATCAAGTATTAAATTATATTAAACAATAATCAACATAACAAAACATTTTATTTTCAAGATAAATAAATAAATCAATAGTAAAATGATCATTTGTTTAATTGTGGTATATTAAATAATATTAGGTCAAAACCGCACAAAGTTTCAATTAAATTGAAAAATCAACTATTATCACTTGTGATCGGAGCCGACGAGAAAGTTTATCATAAAATACAAATAAACCGAAACTTCTCAATGAAATGCGAAATTGTGTATCTTTACAGAATATCCCAGGCCGAGCAATCCGACAGTAGGCACCTATCGGAACCCATCCGATCCGACTGGAATCCAATAGGATTTTATCGGATCCTGCCCAATCTTACAGAATTATCGTTGGATTCCGGGTCGAGGAATCGATACCGGATCCTCAGTGTCGAATTCCTATGAATTCCAAGGAAAAACCGTTGTATGTCATCGGAAGTTCATAGGATTCCGACACTGAGGATTCGACATTGATTCCTCGACCCGGAATCCAATAGAATTGTATCGGATTGTAGGATATTTCCAGTTTCCTATCTGATCCGATGTCGGATCAGTCGAACTGGGTACCTGATTAACCAGATATAGACTAATTTTTAAATGTTTTAGTTTATATGTTTTTATTTCTCTTACGTATGAAGAATCATAGTAAGGCTAAATGATTGATATTCGACTTCAAACAACTATTCCCTGTAATGAATGTCGATCTGCTTAAATATGAGTTTGTTAAACTTCGAGTATAGAACTCTAAAATTCTTGAATAAAAGAAAACAAAAAGAAATTGCTTTTAGAGAAAAAAACACATCACCAATCAAATGAAGAGCTGACTATTTGGCAATTATTAAATAAAATGTTTCCATAGTTCAAAAAAAATATTGATTCACCCCTTGATTTGTTCTTCATTACGCGTCTGATTTAAATATTTTCTAGTTATCGATGAATCCATATTCGAATATGCCCTGTACGCCAGTCTCGAGTAATCGAATATTTAGATGGCAAATTCTGTTGTAACCAAGTGATATGTCCATCGTTTGCAGAATTTGAATACTGTGTGGTTCCCATCCATTTATCATCAGCACATTTGCAATTCAACGATCGAAGATTAGTCATTGTATTAATAAGTTCAAGAATGGTTGTTCGATCCGTAACATTAATTACAAGTACTTCACAAAGACCTCCCAATTGAGAACGAATGAATGCTTTGCATCTTATATTTTCGAAATATCCTTTCAAAACAAGTCGACGAATTGATTTGCTCCTGACGTTAATAGACTGAATTTGCAGCCAAGCTAATTTATTAAAGATAACTGAGTATAGATTAGGTGCACTATCTAGTAGAGTTTCAAGTTGACATAAAGACCAATCTTGATACAGCGATAAATCAAGCGAAATCAACCTATCAAGTTTGGGAATAACAGATAGAGGTTGATCTGCCCCAGAGCAGTTTAATTTGAGATGATGAACATTACAGAAGCGAACAGAAGGAAAATAAGTAGATTTAGAAAATGAGGAGTTGTACAAAAGACTGTACACATTAGTGTAAATCAATGTATCGATATCATCGTAAGTTGATTTACTAATGCTCCTATTGTAATAAGAGAAATTATCAAAAGCGTACGGTACTGTATAAAGGCTTGCAAATGAATGTCTATTCTCCACGCTCCAGTCGCATCGAACAAACCATTGACGTTCATGAAGCCAAAAGAAAGTTCGAAATGAATTCAATAGATTATCGATTATTTCTTCTATTGGACTTCTTTCATTAGGTATGAAAATTTTCATGTCAAAATGAAAATCTTTCAATTTAGGTAAGTAATCGAGAATGAATTCCTTCCACTGATTTCCATTCAAACTTAGTTGAGTCAATTCTAATTTGATTTTCAATCGACGTAAATTAGGCATCTTTTTTAAAAAGTCGGTCAACACCTTCATAGAATTTACAATCCAATGAATTTTCAATGTAATCATCGAAGGAATAGTAGCTAACACATCTCCACTCTCATAATCTTTGTTGATTCCGACAGTAAGAGTTCGCAGAAGCGGGGTATTCTGGAATAAACGAGCCAATTGGTGCAAACTAATGCATTCACCAGTGAGAGACAAATGTTCAAGAGTTGATGAGATCACTGTTCCATAGTTAAAATTAGCAGGAGGCTTCCATTTCACGTTTCTGATACAGCAATGAGTCAGTGCAGGTAGACCCCAAATAACATCAAGCATTTGCGAGAAAATATTTCCTTCTTCGATATATATAGTGTCAATGGTGAGATAATTGAGATTTTGAAGGTAGGAAAGGTCTGATAAAATTCTTGTGATCGTCTGCTCAGAGTAAATATGATAGAGTGAAAGTGATCGCAGTTCAATACATTGACGAGACAATGAAAATTGAGAAAGAAAAAGATCGATTTGTTGTGGAGTTTGATCATCATCGGAGAGTCGAATTGAAATAATGCGATCAATAATCGTTGGAACAATATGTTGACAAACTATATCGAATTTCGACTTAGAAATAGAACGGAAGTCTAGATTTCGATTGGTTCGAAAAAAGATGTTGAGAAGATGATCAAAACGAGAGCTGAGACCATGAAATGTTTGCAACAGATGAGCAGTGCTTAGATATTCGAATATATTAACAAATAATTCGTTGGCCAAGGATTCTAACGACATTGTCATCAACTTTTTTTTGAGTAAATACGATGAAATGATTTCATCAAATACTCGTCTATGCAAAATGGTCACATGTGTAGCTGCTGTAAATAACGTTCTCCGTTCTCTGAAAATGATAGGTAGGTAGGAAGAAAAAAATATTGCAATTGTTTTTCTTTTTCCTTTTACTGCTTTGCAAAAGTTGAAATGAATGATTAATTTCTCATTCGTATTTGAATCGATTCGATTCACGTTGAATGTGAATGTGATTGTATACATATTAGAAAGATGAAGAAAACAACTTTGAACTGGAAAATGAACAAAAGACACTTAAGAACATCCTTAAAAGCAAGATATAATATTCTTTATTTTATAGAATAATAAAAGAATCCTATAAGGTTGATTACAAAAATCAAGAGGAACAATTGTTTATGCCCTAGACGTGTTTGAATTCTTTCTGAATCAGTAAAAGAAACTGTGATTCTCAATCGTTTCAGTCAATTGATTCATTAAATTTGTAAGAACTTTTCCCGGAGTATTTATTAAATATGTATATTTCTGATATTTGTTTTGCCATTCTTTTAAATATTTTATTCGAAAATAAAATCCGTTGATTAAGAGTTAATATGTCTTTTTATAAATAAATAAATAAAAATAACAGACAATGTCATATACTCTAAACACATCGAATGACGATGAATTAGCTGCCGTGTTATAATCAGAGACTTTTAGTATTATGCTAATAAACTTTTCCAGATTCTTTTAGTTAATCTCTATCACTATTGGATCGTCACATAAAACGATAGAAAAACAAGATAATTCTTGATAGTTTGATTTCACTATTAGAAATATTCCTTGTTTTTCATTCGATTGAGCGTTCAAAAGCTAAAAATTAGAACGTCAAAATCAATTGTATCTGTAGAAAAAAACTCATTCCACACTCAACAAGCTAAAGGGCACATCACTTTTTCTAGTAATAGTTTTCAGATGTAACATTCTTTTGTTTTACCTTTACATGTTACCTCTTTACTTCATCTTCTATCTTTAAGTTTATGTCTTTCAATAACTTGATAAAAATTAAAATGAGTCTTTTTTTCTCCATTATGAACAATCGTCATTGCGTATTTCTTTTTGTTTTAAAAATTTTTCATACCTTGATCGCATCAGATATATCCCATATCGAGAAGTTCGGGCCGGTTCCCGCAGGTGAACACCGGCAATCAACGAACATGCAAGCAGTATTTCTACAAATGGATTCGGTGATCAGATTTATTCGGTTCCACCCAGAACCGCCAGTACCCTGACAAAACCAGCAGTCGAATATGACCACCGGCTTACGGCGTCGAATTCCTGGCATTTCCTGGTTGGTTCCCTTCGGAAACGGCGTGTTTCCTGCGGATTTTCAGGAGAAATTCCCGGAATGTTGCTTCAGAAATCATCGACCTGGGATCTGTATCTAAGATCTTGAGTAAAACAAAAAACGACATCATTAATTTATTCAAACTATTTTCCAAAGTCAATCATATGAGCTTGTCAATCTCATCGATGTGCAGGAAATTTCGCAGCAGTAGGGACACTTGCCAGTCAATAAAATTAAAGCTATGAAGCGCAAATAAATGATTCTTCTAAGACATTATAGAAATCAAAAATGTTAAAGTTATTTTTATTTCTAGATTTTTAAATTAATGATATCTTGGTACCCATGCAGTACTTACATCAGTATGGTTATTCAGAATTTTCAAAGTATCCATATCGGGTACCTTGCTAAGGCTTTCTCAGTATATGATGGATAACCTGAGCTCAATACGTGCTCTAGTGCTGCTTCTTTAAAATAAATTCTTGATGAAATAATTAATTCTGTATTTTTAATGATTCCTTTTAGTTTCAAATATTTTCAACATAGTTGATGTTACTATTGCTGTTTCGAAAATTTTTAGTTCTAATATAACAGGATCAGACTATTTTCTCATAGGAGTTCCTTCAAAGGATCTTATAATTATGAAAATCTATTATGTAATGATATCTTTGTAAGACTCTCATTTGGAGAATGTGTAATAGTAGAGCTAATATTTAGTCTGCTAAACAATTAGAGAGCTTACATTAACTGGCTGCCGTACTTTGTTATTGTAACATGGTTATATATTTAATAGAATAATATATTTCAATATATTTTATTTTTCTAATGAAGAAGTATAACAATAATCATCAGTGAAGAATATAATAATATAGAAGATGATAATGATAACGCAGATAATAACTGGGGAAAAGAAAAACCAACAACTGCGTAATAGCGAAGAAAAATCAATCGCGAGGGAGGGGTGCACAAGTACGGGTACAGCTTGTACTCGTATATACAACTCCCCCCCCGCGAAAAAAATCTAAAATTCTAGAATTTATGTATTCGCATGTACTAGCACGTACCCGCTTGTATTCGGTTGTACTAACCCCTTTTCCCCCAAAAAACCTAGAATTCTAGGTTTTTGGAGGGAAGAGGGGATAGTACAACCAAATACATGCGAGTACAAGTGTATCTTCTGTGTCAACTAGCAGAGCTTTTAGTCTCTATGTAAATTGCGCAGTACAGTTGTACCTGTACTTGAGTACCTATGTCATGAGGATTAGTTATAGTAGAAATATTACGTAACAAATCAAAATAGAGATCATAGCAACCGATAACACGAAGAAACGCTTAGCGTCAGTGAGTGTCATCTATTGACGCTAACAATCTTATTAAAAATCGTGTACACATGAAATCGACATCTTTCAATTTATCACAATTTCCAATTATGCTTTTCCCGTGCGTGATAGAGGCATATCCCCCACTATCATTGGTGATTTAACTGTTTAGTGTGCTCGGTCATTTTGCTTTACATTGTAAGAATAATACGTATACCAATATAAAAGTAACTTAATCGTGTTTTTTTATCTTAGAAGAAGAAAAAGACGAAGAAAAAACATATGTCTGCTACTTCGAATGAATTCTTTGTCGGTATTAAACCGATAAAATATAATCCACAAGCATCAGTCGATGATTTACTCGTATTTAAACAATATAATCAAGATGAGATTATTTTGGGTAAGCCAATGCACGAATGGCTTCGTTTTGCTGTATGTTATTGGCATACATTTCGTGGCATTGGTGCTGATATGTTTGGCGCATCAACATTCGATCGCCCATGGGATCAATCAGGAAATGAGATGCTAATCGCAAAAGATCGTCTTCGAGCAGCATTTGAGTTTTTTACGAAACTCGGTGTAAAATATTTTACATTTCATGATCGTGATATAGCACCAGAAGGTGAAACAATTGAACAAACAGAAAAAAATTTAGATGAAGTTATTCAATTAGCAAAAGAATTACAAAAACAAACAGGAATTAAATGTTTATGGGGTACAGCAAATTTATTTGCTAATCCAAGATATATGAATGGTGCAGCAACAAATCCTGATGCACATGTTTTTGCTTATGCTGCTGCTCAAGTTAAAAAGTACGAATGAAAATTTGAATATTTTAATGCATTTAAATTTTGTTGTTTCAGAGCAATGGAAGTGACACATGAATTAGGTGGTGAAAATTATGTATTTTGGGGGTAGATTTTATTTACAATGAAAATTGAAATAAATCTAAAGCAAAGTTTTATTTTAAAATTTATTTATCTAGTGGACGTGAAGGTTACATGTCATTACTCAATACTGATGTTAGAAAAGAATTAGATCATTTGGCAGCATTTTTACGAATGGCTGTTGAACATAAAAAGAAAATTGGTTTCAAAGGACAATTACTGATTGAACCAAAACCAAAAGAACCAACTAAACATCAATGTAGGTGCTTTTTTCTCTTTTATTGATTGAATTTTTTTTTGATCTTATTAGACGATTATGATGCTCAAACTGTAATGGGTTTTCTCAATTATTATGGTTTAAATAAAGATTTCAAAGTATGAATGAATTGATTGGTAGTTTTATCTTTTCTATTGATAAGTATCATCTTTATTAGCTTAATATTGAACCTAATCATACAACTATGGCTGGTCATGCATATGAACATGATGTTGAAATGTGTTCTCGTTATGGTATGCTTGGTTCAATCGATTCAAATACTGGTGATTCGTCACTTGGTTGGGATACAGATCAATTTCCGATGAATCTACGGGATTGTGCTTTCGTTATGAAAACAGTTATAGCTCAAGGTGGACTTGCTCCTGGTGGTTTAAAGTAAACTATTGATTTTTTTCTACTTTTGAAGAAATCAGGAAATAGTGTAATAGATATTATCCCATAAATAGTAGTTTTGAAAATTGTTTTTCAGAAACGATTGTACACGGCTGAAAAGTTGAGAGTATCCAATCAGTCACGGTTGTTGTACGGTGCATACAAAAAAGCGAAACTATTAACTAAAACGGTCGCTTACGACAGCGCGTCTTTCATCTCCGATGAAGTGAAGCAAATAAGACAACTGATCACTATCTAGCTTCTGGTACCGAGTAGCCCTTCAAATCGATGACTTTTTTCCATGCAGCTAAAAATTAATTTATGGTATCAATAGATAAGTTAAAAAAAACTGTCAGTTCATATATAAACTAAATAAGCTTCGAAAAAGTAATTCTCCCTAGTTCCTCATTTTAGTCACATAAGGATTGAGCGGTCAACTCGTCTTTTTCCTGTTTAGTTTTGATTGTAAAGTTCGTCGTGAATCGACAAATCTTCAAGATATGTTTATAGCACATATTGGTGCCATGGATTGTTTTGCTTTGGCTTTACGTAAAATGGCTCGTTTATTTGACGATAAAAAGTATGGCATTTTAGTTCAACAAAGATATGCGTCATATAATGAGACAGATATTGGTAAAAAAATTGAAGCTGGAGTGGCAACATTTGAAGAATTACATGCATTCATTAAGAAAAACGGAGAACCAGCGAAAACGTCTGGGGAACAAGAAAAATTCGAAGTTATTTTTAATCGCTATTTAGATTGATAAACAGGATTATATTTGCTATATGTTATGATATGACATCTATATACACATGTAACTGTTCATCTTTATTCTTCTTTCCCTTTCTTTCGTTCTTCTGGTTCTCTGATATTATATATATACACGCATACGTTTTGATATGCAAGTGTGATTCCTTTAAGTTTATTAGATAAACAAACACGTTTCTGTTATACACTCTCTATCTATATATCGAACCTAGTTTGCCCTTAATATAAAACACAGCACTATGGAACGGCATCTATCGTTTCAAATATTTTTACATCATCCTCTTTACATAATTTTTTAAATGTATCTTTCTGATTGGTATTATGTATTAATAGATACATCGATTGATCTTTAAAAGTATCATTGTATTTCTATTTAGTTGGTTTTGTTATTTGTTTTTCTGTTTATTAAACAATAAACTGACATATTAGGATCTAGCAACATTCTATTTTATTTTTCATTAAGAAAAAAAAATACACATTATAACAAACAGAAGAAAACATCAGCTAATGGTAGTTTCCAAATGCTATCATATCAATATAAGGACAATGATCCAATACTAGAGACGAACACATTCTTAGGCCTTCTAAATACTTGAAATTTTGACCATGATGTTCGAATTGCAACCATGATCAATATCGAATATTTCCAATTAGAATAGTTCACACATCACCATATATTAACCAAACGAATTTCTATTCAACATGATGTTTGAATAGAGAATAAGATTTAGATATACTAGACACATAGAACAAATTTCAGCCCTCTTGTCAATCTTTTTCTTGCAATAGAAATCTAATAAAAAAATTTCATTTAGATTCGTTCTAGGGAAGAAATTTGAAATATTTATTTTTCAGATGAGTCTTTGGTGTGATAAATATCGTCCAAAAACATTTGACGAACTTGATTATCAATTGCAACAAGCAGAATTATTACAAACAATTGTAGCCAGCGGTGATTTTCCACATTTTTTAATATTTGGCCCAAGTGGATCTGGTAAAAAAACTCGTATAACATGTTTACTTCATGCATTATATGGTGATGGTATTCAATCGTTACGTATTGAAAATCATGAATATGAAACACCATCAAAAAAGAAAATTGAAATAACAACAATTGGTAGTAATTTTCATATTCAAGTCAATCCCAGGTATATTTAAAAAGACAATAAATCTAGTTAATTTCGATTTTCACCAAAGTATAGCTTCATTTTCCTAGTTTATTCATTGACAATAGTAACTCTTCATACTATGTAGATATTTTACTTCACTAAAGTTTGATATAACAAGAACATTGAAATCAGAATTGTTCTTTTATAAATAGATTAAGTTAATCGCTCAAAACTTACTTGAGCACTATTAAAATATGCATCTCACTGTTAAAATGCAACATATGAATTAATTTACATTTGAAATTATAAAATATGAAAAAACTAGCGATATGCAGATAATGAGAATTTTCAGTGTCTTATATTCAACAACATTAGTTTTGCCGCAATGTCAATGATCCTTGTCTATTCCGAATATCGTTATCATTGATTATTAATATGCAACAGAAAATTCTTATTGTAAAGAGAAATTACTTTTATCTATGTCTAAGTGAGTTAGAACAGATGACTAGCACTCACACACACACACTCCTATGGCAAACCCATAACTTATGATTCCACATATACGTAAATCACTGTTAGCACGTTCTTTGCCAAAATATTGTAACAAAAATTTTAACTTTTCGATTAAAGTGATAACATCTATAATTGTAGTATGTCTCCTTTCTAACCTGATAGAGTGAATAAATACCACCGAGAGATAATCAGGTAAAATATCATGGCGTATTTATATTTTGACGCAAATAGTCGTTCAATCGATGAAAAATATCTTATTAAGCTCATGTTTAACATGTATTACGATCAATTTTGAAGACCACTCTACGTATACGTATTCATAATTGTTTTTTAAAGTGATGTTGGAATTTATGATCGTGTTGTAATTCAAGAACTAATAAAAACAATTGCACAAACCAGACAAATTAATAGTACTGAACAACGTGCATTTAAAGGTTGAAAATTTTACTATTGATTATATTTTAAAATGTATAATCGTAATTTTTCTGTTTCTAGTTATTGTTATTGTTGAAGTAGATAAATTAACACGTGATGCTCAGCATGGTCTTCGTCGAACAATGGAAAAATATGTTGGTTCATGTCGTCTTGTTCTTTGTTGTAATTCGACGTCGCGTGTTATACCTGCTATACGAAGTCGATGTTTAGCTATTCGAGTAGCTGCACCAACTGTAGATGAAGTATGTTTTGTATGCCATGTCTATGCTATTTTAATTTGACCAATATGATATAGATTAGTGGAATTTTAAAAAAAGTTGCGACTATCGAAGGTATTCAATTACCAGTTGATTTAGCAAATCGCATTGGAGAAAAAAGTCAACGCAATCTTCGTCGAGCATTACTTATGCTTCAATCGTGTGCAACACAAAAGTAAGATTTGAATGCATTGACTTCAAAAATGGTTAACTTTTACTTTTGTAGAGTTCCATTAACTAAAGATCAACAGATAGTTGAACCTGATTGGGAAATATATTTGCGCGATACAGCTAGAATGATTGGTGAACAACAAACACCTCAACGGTACATACAATAATAATTATTATATTTTTTATTATAATTTGCTTCAAAATTCTTTTATTATAGAATTTTAGAAGCACGTGAACGTCTTTATGAACTTATTGCACACTGTATTCCAGCAGAAGTTATATTCAAAGTAAAATTCATTTTTTTGAATCGTATTGATTTACTGTTATTTGCTTCATTTGTTTTTTCGTATAGGGTTTACTTGATGAACTATTAGCTAATTGTGATGATTTATTAAAGTCTCAAATAACTCAAACGGCAGCGGAATATGAACATCGACTTCGACAAGGCTCCAAAGAAATCTTTCACCTTGAAGCATTCATCGCCAAATATATGTGTATCTATAAACAACATATGCAATCCATGGCTGCTGGTCTTGATGATTGCTTTGATTAATAAATATGTCAGCTTTTTTTTTTCTTATTGTGTATATGTAGATTAAAAAAAAATAAAATCGAGATAGAGCAAACAAATAAATGCTTTCATGACAATACGCCTACATTGCTGATTAACATGTATGGAAATATTAAACAGGTGCTATGAAAGATACATTCGAGAATCTATAAAAGCGAAAAATTATTGAAGCACACCTAACCTCTCCTTTTTCATTGTATTCCCACAATAAGACGAAACATGTTGTTGTCTTATTACACTCTTATTTTAACATGCAGTAAGAGATTGAGTAATAGAAATATGTTGAGTTTTGATTCTCCTGTTAATAGGTATTGCGATTGTTGCTTCCAACCGAGAACATACACCATGGGAACGAGCAAAACTTTTAGTAAGAAATTTTATCAAGGAAAATTTGTCGAGTCTATTTTGAAAATTTACAATAAAGGGTCCTTTGGCTTTCACGGATGCTCGTGTAGATTTTCAATGTACTGCATTAACTCCATCACCAACAGTTCCTACTTCAGGTATATTTGAATATAATTAATTATACTCGATTTAACTAATTTGACGCTTTTTTTAGTTCATGCTTTACGACCAGCTGATATTAAATATATCGGTGCTATAGGTGATAGTTTAACTGTATGTTTAATGAAAAGAAAAAACGGAATTATGCCAATATTTGAATATTTTAGGCAGCTAACGGTGCCAAAGCTTGGACAATTATTGGTTTACTCACAGAATATCGTGGTGTTTCATGGAGGTAAAAGAAATAATAGATAAAAAAAACTTTACAATAGGGCATACTTTCAACAGTTAGATTTATCCTCCTAATACCTTTTCTCGTGTGAATAGTAGCTGTCGTCTTGAAGATTAGAATGATCTAATGCCGAGTTCATTCACTCAAAGATGATTCAAAAGAGAAACAGTCATTAGTCAATGATCATATCATAACTCTTGATACTGAGGTTAAACTACAGTACCCTGTAAATACACATCGAATTATAATAACCAGTTAATCATGGTGGTTGTCAAATAATTTAGTATAATCATTTTTCCATTGTATTTTTGAATATTTTAGTATTGGTGGTGAACGTGATCTTAATTCAGTTGTTACCTTACCAAGTATAATAAAAGTTTTTATTTTTTGTATTTCAAAAAATGTTTTAATGTGTATTGTAGATATAATGCGCAAATTCAATCCCACTCTTTATGGTCATTCAAGTGGTAATGGTAATCAAAACTCATCAGGCGCTGTTTTTAATGTCGCTAAACCCGGCGCTGTTTCAGCGTATGAAAATCATGGATCAATTCATGATCACATTCATTTTTCTCTATTTTAGTGATATGCCAGGTCAAGCTAATTTATTAGTTGATCGAATGATCCAAACTCTAGGCGTCAATACATTCAATTCAGAGTGGAAATTAGTAACATTTTTCATCGGTGGTAATGATCTTTGTGCTTATTGTGAAGATAATGTATGAAGTTTTGGTTGCTAGGAGTTCATTGATGAATTGAAGTGTTCTTTTTTTTTGTCTAAATTTAGGATCGTTATAGTGCATCAGCTTATAAAAATAATGTTCAAACAACACTTAATATATTGCGTGACAGAATGCCACGTACGATTGTTAATTTTGTTACTGTACTCAATGTTGCTGAACTTGAAGATTTACATGAAGGTCTTGTTTGCACCAATATGCAAGGGTAGGGTTTTGAATGACTGAAAAATTTAGTTTCTTTTTTTCTAATCATTAATTTGTAATAGATTTTTATGTGATTGCGCTATAAAGCCTGATACACGTGAACAAGTTCGTGTTGCTAACCTTGCATATCAAAAAGCAACAAATGAATTGCTCGATTCGGGTATTTACGACGTAAAAGATGATTTTACTGTTGTTCGTCAACCATTTATGGAACATATGAAAGTTCCTAATAAAGTAAGAAGAATTTTCTTTATTAAAATGTCTTCCTATCGTGGAGATTTATATTATAGCCAAATAATGGTGGACCTGATTTCGATTATTTCGCACCCGATTGTTTCCATTTCAGTACAAAAGGTCACGAAGCTGCAGCTATTGAACTTTGGAATAACATGGTCTGTTTGATGTCTTTTCGGAGAATTATTTATTAAATTTTCTTAATTTAAATGTAGATGGAAAAGGTTGGCCAAAAGACAACTTTGTGGAATTTGCAGGATACAGTTAAATGTCCATCTGCAGTAAGTTGATTTCATTTGTTTTTATTCAGTATCTTATAATATTTTTTGTTTCAACTAGGGCAACGGATTCATCTATACATCGAAAAACAGCTAAATATTCTCTTGATGTGATTGATTTTTTTCGTTTTCGATAAATAAATACAGTACGATATTGATATATTTGTATACCATATCATAATCCAAGTCAACTTCTGAATTCAATAATAAACTCTTCTACATGATCTAATCGACTAGTAGATTAGTGATCGATATTACGTATAATATAATATGCGACTAAGCTATTTTTAATCGAGAGATTAAATATTACACTAGTATGATGATTGTGTGATAATCTATTTTAAATTTATTAGCTAAAGATTAACGCTGTTAACTGCAATGTGTGTGCTGATTCATAGCTTTTCTCGTTTCATGGACGAAATATTTGATAATAATCTAAACGATTCTTCTATTATGATATATGCGAAAGTTGAACATCTGCCGTGCGCGTTATTTTTTTGCGAATCAAAAAAGATTATTATTTAGAGATACTTTAGAAAGGAAAAAAGCAATTTTCGCACAGCTTTTTCTCACCTGCCCTATTACATGCTTTTTGCACTGGTCGATAGAATATATCTTCAAATATGATTATTTTCAATGAAAGTAATAACAAAATAAAAATAATATTCGTTTTTATTTAAGCATTGCATAGTCGTCAATTAGAAAAGTCTAAATAAATCGCTAAAAAGAAAGGGTCATGGTATAGTTCGAAGACTTGTTGTGTTGTTCTCAAGGAAATATAATATACAATTATGAAAATAAACATTTGAATAAATGAAGGAATACAAATGCAATGTAAAATTAAATTTTAATAATAAATCTGAAAGTATTTGGTGTTTTATCACGTGTATGATCATTGGTCTGCCATAAAATTACAATTATACAACGCTCGTATCTTATAAAATGAGTAGCTATCGTTTCAATTGATAAACTAAATTCTAAAAATGAATAGACCTATTTCAACTATATAATAGATGAGAATTTGACGAAAGACAAACGAAAATCAAACAGCGATGAAATGAATTCGCGTCTTTCTTTTTTAACTAAATCGGTTTTAGAAAGATACTCTAAGAAAATCACAATAAATCTGTAACAGGATGTGAGTATCGGTGAGAAAAAGGAACACGAACAGAACAACGTTCGAATCCTGGGAGTTTTCAATAAACATTGAAAATATCGAAAACTCTGATTCAATCAATCTTTAAAGTCAATGGTTACTATGGCTTTTAGCCAAGTTGAACTTGTTAATATTCAAAATTACCAAGCGATCTGTGATAAAGGAAAAAGTCAGAAAACTCACTTTAAGAAAAGCACAAAAAATTCTCGAGTGATTTTCTTAAACACGACCGATTACAACGTATGAAATGAAACTATGCAATAATCTAGCAGTTTATTTGCTTTGTCAAAGAAATTTTTTAGAGTATAGCAAAATATCAATAAAAAATCATCGAGAAACATCGGCAAATCCTGATCGATGAGAGTATGATAGAGAAGCGTTTATTAGAAACGAATTTTTAGTACATGATTTGTGATTTACTGTACGTTGTTAGAAGAATACTTAGAACACATCGTAATATCTATCAAACTTTTCAAGAAAGAGTCTTTTAAAAGGAAAGTTTATCCTAATAGTATTTTAAGAGTTTGTGATGCCTGATAACAGTGAAAAGTATTTGACGATTAGTTGTACTGAGTTATTTTTAATTTAAAATCAATGATAAGTAGTTTCATTTGATACAGCGATTTAATTCATTCGAGTGATTTACCAATTCATCATTTAAAACGCTGTGTGATAGTCACATACGTCCTATTTTTATCAGACGTGAAAACTGAGGCTTGAAAGTTTGAAGATAAAAAAAACCATCTTCTTGTTTAGTGCGATATTTCACAAAAAATTATCGAGTATTTTGAAAAGAATGAACTGTAGCGCATTCGAAGTTAGAGCTTGACATTTTTTCATGGAGTTCAAAGTCATGAAACTCGATGGATTTTACTTTTCTGAGGAAATTAATGGATGAAGCTTACATTTGTTTTGCATATTTCCGAACGATGTTCGTACAGGATTGTTATTCATGATCGAATAATATCTGATCTTATAATATATTGTTGGAATGAACACAATTATATAATGTTAGAATCAATTCAAATTCGTACTACAGACTATGATCCAGTAGAAAATTCTGGTTCAATCTGTTAACAGTTTTTTATTTTATGATGGAAGCGAGAAATTCTTCAAGAACTTTTCCTCTTGTTCCATGTTGACTGGTTGGTCAATAGTTTTTGATCAATATTATGTAGAAAAAAGAAAGCTGCTCATACTATAGATAAAAAAAAACATCTAACTGAAATATGTCAAGAAGAATCAGACAATTCGAACTAAACAGAAATCTCTTGTTTCTCATGTGTGAACAAAAATCGTGCTAGCGTGACAGTCCTATAATAATAATAGAAATAAATAAATTGCACTCGTATGCATATAAATTTTAAAAAAATGTATAACGAGCTTTGAAAATTGTTTTTGTTAACAGGAAAAGTTTAGCAAAGAACATCGACTATATTGTATCGGTCGAAAACTATATTCGGAACTTCTATGAAACGTCCAATGGAAGTTCATTCGCGCATATATTTCACAAGAAACTTGATGCAATTGATATAAATGAAATCATTCGTTTATTTATTTTTTTGGTATCAATTTTGTAGTTTTCCTAGCAAAAAGGACTCAATAGCATTCGTTCATGTTGTGTCTTACGTATTTCAAATTATTCTTATCATTGTTGTTTCTAGTTAATAGAATAAATTGGCAATAATACGAATAGAACTATGATATTAAACAGTTTGCATGTGATAAACAAATTTATTTTTTTGTATTGATCGAACAATATCATCAAAATAATGTAAGTCTCTCGTTTACTGAATCGATGAGAGAAAAATACATCTGGATCACCATATAATAAAATGCATTATCAACAAAAGAAACCCATGGTATAAGAAAATAATCTTGAATTGAATTAAAACAGGAAAATCATGTCGTCTGTAAAAGTCATTTTCACAATAGCAATTCTACTAATATCACTGAGCAATATATATTGTGTGACGGATGGCGAGATCTATGCTCTTCAACAAACAATCAATCATTTGAGTGAAGCAGCAAAAGAAAAACTTTATCACTCTCTTTCTGCTAATAACAATGAAGGCCGACTAGACAGTACGCATTGGTGTTGCAATATTGATCCTGGTGAGAAATTTAACTGTATTTTAATTTTTTTAATATAATACTTTTGAATTCTACTCAGGTGTGGACGCTACAGCAAGAACTCGTCAAACAACTTTTACCATTCAACGACATGCACGTAGAAAGTGTGGTTACAGCAGCTGTGGTGTTTTTGGCTGGTCAAGTTGTACACGTTGGTGTGACGATTATTGGACAGAACTAGGATACGGCATTGAAACATACACTACTTATGAGCAACGTATATGTCCACTAGCAAACCTTGTCTGCTGTGCTGGTTATATTACTGTTGTCAATCATTGCTTTACCTATGAAGAAGTTTTAAATAACAAGGATATTTTAGAAATACTTGTTTCTATGGGTATTTCTATTAATCCAACGATGGGTTAAGAAAAGTTTTAAAAATAAACTAACGACATCTATCATGAATATATTTCTATTTGCTATTTTGTGCTTGCCAGTATCCTAAAAGAACAAAGAGCTTTCTCTTTTTGATTATTTTCTATTTTGCCCTTGAATTGTGCAGATCTAATATGTCAACTCGTACGTCAACCCGATCAACTAAAGCTGTGAAATTTGTTGATTCCGCTGATGATGATGAGGGAGAATTTGAGAATTCAAGTGCAATGAGAATAAAAGATGAACCTAAAAAGGTAAAAGCTCGTGGTCGTGCACGTCGTACTCGAACAAATGACGATGAAGATTGGGATGCAAGAAATGAAGAAAGTGATGTAGAAGAAGAAGATGATGATGATGAAGAAAGCGTTGAAGATGAAGATGCGACGAAAAAATTTCAAACCAAACCTGTGAATCGCACGATAGACTCAGTTTATGATTTTGGGTACGAGCAAGGCTGAAATAACAGAAAATTTAGATAGCATATTCTTTTTTCTTTATATAGAGAAATGAGTAGTACAGCAAGAAAGTGGACAAAAACAGCTACACCACAACGCAATAGTGTTGTTAGTGATTCAGGAAAATCAATGGAAAAATTAATGTGTTCATATTGGTAAGAATACAGAAACGAATAAGATGATATATATATATATATAAAGATTTTATTTTAGTAATTATACAACAACAAAAAAATACCTTCTTCAAAGACATTTAAAATCTCATTCAACTGAACGACCGCATAAATGTAAAAATTTCATTTTTAAATAAAAACATGAGTAAATAAATTGATGTTTTTTCCCGTAATTATCACAGGTGCTTATTGCGATCGATCATTTAAAACAACTATTCAATTAACAAATCATGTTAATACGCATCTAGGTGTTAAGCCATTTCAAGTAAAAATAAAATCGATCTTTGCTTTTTTTTCTATAAAAATGAATGAATCCTTTTTGATTTAGTGCAAATTTTGTTCATTTTCATTTACAACTAGTGGTGAACTTATTCGACATGTTCGATACAAGTGAATATAATTCTTAGTGTTGTTTGATCCTAGTTTGTTTGCTTTCTTCTTTCATAGGCATACCCTTGAAAAACCACATCGATGTGAAGAATGCGGTTATGCTACAGTTGAATTAAGTAAATTAAGGCGACATATACGTACACATACAGGAGTATGTATCGTGTTTTTTGTTCGTTAAATTAAAATTTCATTCATATATTCATACATAGGAAAAGCCCTATGCATGTCCACATTGCTCGTATTGTAGTCCGGATACTTTTAAACTGAAACGACATTTACGTGTTCATACCGGTATGAGAAGTGGGACGCTATTCTCATGATTATTCGAGATTTTTCTTCATATTCTAGGCGAACGTCCTTATCAATGTACAATTTGCAATTTTCGCTTCACTCAAAGCAATAGGTAAGAGCATCTGTTGGTTTGATATAAACTTTTTTTCTTTTACTAATAATAATCTTAAAAATTCAATCATAAAAAGTTTTTATTTAATTTAAATGAATATTTATTTTCATTTGAAATAGTGTAAGTCGTAGCTTATGGGTCATTTCTTGTAAAACTGGATATGTGCATTATTCATTCGACTTTTAATTACTTGCAAAAGTTCTTTCGAAATAAGTTACTGAAAATGCTGCCTCTTTAAGTGAACAAAGATTAAAAACGTATGTAACCAAATGAGAAGCGATAGACTCCAATATGTATGCATTGCACTTTCGATGCAATTTTCCGCAAGATCGATCTCGTATATATCAATTTGATAGCAACTAGGAAGAAATACATACGGCTGAGAGTATTCTCTTCATACTGCACTTTTTTGCTAATGAAAAGTCACTTGCTCTTGAATTTACAATAGCAGGACACGGCTTGCTGTCAAACACAGTATTTATTTTAATTCATTTTCTAACTAGAAAGAAGGAAAGAAATTATGCTTTTCAAAATTCCATGGATAGATCTTGCTAAAAAGAAATCGTTTCGTTTTGTAAACCAACCAAAAGCATTTTGTAGAGAAATTTATTTCGAACATAATACGATTCGTCCAACCTATTTTCAATGAATTACACTTATTTATTCTACTAAAATTGTTGTCTATTGTACAACAAATAATTTCCATTTCACTGCATGACACACATTTTTCATTCACTCAGAAAATATCTGGAATAACCTAGTTACCAGAGATCCATCATACTAACATTTTGACCTGTGTTGCTACTGATAGGAATTTTTTGTAGTTATTTATGTCTTATTTGTAAATATCATCTAGTAGCATTTCTCAATTAATTTTAGTTTAAAAGCTCATATGTTAACTCATCAAGCCGAAAAACCATCATTTCCTTGTTCATATTGTCCATCAGTTATGGCTCGGAAATCTGATCTTCGTTATCATATTGGTAAACAGCATGCTCGTCAATCTGAACCACTATCGTGCAATAAATGTGATGAAGATTTTCCTGATAAGTATGTTCATTTGATCTTTTTCATATTTAAACCAAAACTTATCCATTAGATATTCATTACGTATGCATGGCAAAACTCATAAAGGTCAAACAATTCATTCGTGTACGAATTGCGAATTTTCCGCTAATACAAGTCAACAATTGGAGGATCATATGAATAAACATCGCGGCACACGGCCATTTCAATGTAGCGAATGTGGTTTAATGTTTGCAGCTCGTGCTGATTTACGTGCACATGTTACGCGCACACATCGAAATGCGTTAACACCAACAACAGCAGCAACAATGAATTCACCAACAACTATGAATCGTCGTCCACAACGGCGTGCTGCATCGTTACAGCATCGCTATATTGGTGCATCATCGGATGCCGAAGATGATGAACAACAAGAAGATGATTTTCGTTGTCCGATATGCCATCGACAATTTACATCAGCACGCTTACTTGATCGACATACATATGCCGTACATGAACCAAAACAAGATTCATACGATGGTAGAGATTATCAAACAAATGAAATGGACGATGAAGATGATATACGTGATTATGCCGATGATGAACTTGAAGAAAAAGAAAAAGTTAATATAAATAGTAAAAATGACTTTCGTTCAAATCAATTAAAAGTTGAAGATGGTATAACTGATGATGAACAAGCAATGAATGAAGAAGAACTGGATTTAGCACCGAATGTTGAAGATATTGTTGAAGGTGATGACGATAATGAACCAATACTAACAATTAAATCAATATCGTCAGCTAGTAGAAAACAAGTTGGAGTTGTAAGAAAATTTGATGAAGTTGAGCATGATGATGATGATGATGATAATCAAGATGATGTACCAAATAAAAGAAAATGTAATATTATTCGAGGTATGCGTTAAATTTTTTAGCAGAAAAATTATTTTTCTTCTATTTGATTTTTCAGCTTCATTCAAATCTAATGATGTTGAAAAACCTGACTTCGACGTATTCGGTTTCAATGGATAATTATTTTTTTTTGCTTACTTGCTCATATTCAACTAAATATATTCTTGTACTTATTAGATATATTTCTCATCGTGTTTGTTTTGTTCGTTTATGCGTGTAGAAAACTTATTTTGGTTGTTCGTGTTTTTCGTTTTGTTCTACTCAGAGATAAAGCACAAGAGAAAATATATTGTATCCGAATAAGTTTTTTTTTGTATGTACATATCTATATATATATACGTGTGTGTTTGTGTAAAGTTTGTATTAGAGTTAATACATCAAGAAAACGACGGAATATTTATAGTTTATGTTGTAGATATTTCTTAGTGCATCTTCATTGAATGATAGAGATTGAGTTGAATATCTTTCGTTTAATTTGATTTGATAGAAGCTTTGTCCACGCGTATACCCCGTTTGAACAATGAAAAAGAGTATTCAATCCGGTAGTTAAGACTTGAAAAAAAATATGCTAAAACATACCTTGGAATTCTAATGATGGGAATATGGTTTTTACACAGAAAAGCATTTTAAACTAAAAACAAATTACGAGTGATTTGACAACAACAAAAAGATGTTTGTAAAAATGATTACAAATTTCGAATGTTGCAATAGCTAAGATAGGTTGTTGCTTTTAGTGGAAAATTCATGGCAGCATTAACAAAATAACATTGTGATCTCTAACTTGATTGATAACATGCCATGAGGTTTTGATTTATCTTATTTTTAGCAGTGTTTGTCTATCAAATAAGAAAGTTAATTTTACATTTATTACTATACTGTTGTTTAGAATAACATACTTGATTATTAACGTCATTTTATATCTTACAGATTAATTAATGTGATCATCAAATTTTTTCCACATATTAATTTCATATCTTTGGACTTTTATTAGATTCGAAAGGGTTAGTAAACAATGTTTTACGATATCTCTCTCTCTCTCGGTTGTTATTTTATTTTAAAGATGCCAATTCATCAATATCATCGTTCATTTTTTAAATTTCTCATGTTTTTTGGTTTACCATATAGTACTGCAATGGCAGAAGCATCAAATCAAAACAATTATCAGCTATTGGAGAAAGTAGTGGGCTATGAAAATCGAAAAAGTGACATTTTACTTTTTTCAAATTCGATTCAATCATCATCAAAGAGTATTGTTTATTATTTTGGTGGAGATATTCAGGTAATGTCAATTATGAGCAATGAACCACGTATTCAGTAGAAGATGTTCTCGAACTGAATAGGTTTTACTGATTCATTCGTTCAAATTTTAATAAAATCTTGATACAAAATAGATCTAATAGAGGATGTTATCATCTATCCATATCTCACTATTTACGTATGAGCTCTGTACATGACATAAACGAGATGGGTTCAAAATTAATTTTCTCGCTTCAATATCTTTAGTGACTTTCATTTGATCTTTGCAGTTTTTATTAGGTTAGAGATTCCTCTCGCAATTGCTTCATGACAGGCAATAACGAAGCAATTTATCTTGGATAAATTCGACGATATAAGACACACTAGATAAAGGATTTTCACTTAAATTTAGAAAGTTAGCGGAAGTAGCTCGGATGTTTTTCACATTTGGCTCATCATCAGTGTCTTGATCATCATTCATGTCTGCCGCCGGTTGCACATTAATTATTCAATATTCTGTCACACAAAATAAAAAACTAAGTCTGCGGTTAAACAATCCCTCGAAAAATAATCAGTCTTAAGTCAAGCCAAAACTGATCAGTACCGCGCAAATCCATTAATAACGTGGCGAGCATATTCATGTTATTCTTTATGAAAATGATGAGATTATAGTTGACAATTTTAGTTATTAAGTAATTTTCTTCGCTGGTGCAATCCAGTTTTAGTTGAAGCTTTCACTAAATTATCCATGTATAAATATCAACCATCAATAGAAACTGTCAGTTCCAAGGAAGTTGCTATAGCTATGCAAAAGTGTCAAAAAACAAATTAATGCCAATTTATCATGCAAGCTCTTTTAGTGAGATATATGCCATAAAAGATCATACCGTACACGATATTTTATACTTGAGGTCAAAATAAATTAATTACATAGTAATCGTTCAGTACTTATCTGAAAACTATCAACATTACTAACATCTAATTCTAGAATGTGTTTAAGCATAGTTGATTATACCACCGCATAACAATATAATATAAATAGATTGCAAATCATAATTAGTTGACATTTATCAAAATTTGAGTATTATTTGTGCATGATAGACGCGTATATATCTTTTTTCAATTCATAATTCTACCTGTATTGAATATATAAACGGGAAAATCGTAAGCAAACATTTTGTACGGTTCTTATATATTCTGATCACGTTTCTTGTCTAGTAGTCGGTAAAATTCTGTTCATTTTGTCGTTTCATTTAGGATAATAAAACTAACGAGTATTTATCTTTTCAAATTAAGAATAATACTTTTCCTATCTCAAGACAACGTAATCATGTTGTAATTCACTTGTCTCCGTGAAAAGCATAATTCCATAATAATTATACCATCTGATCATTTGGTAAGCATGGATTGGCAGAAACAAAAGCAAAATGTCGAAAGTGCTATAAATCGAGTGTGAACTTACACTATCCAAATTAAAAGCACAAGCGATGGATATTCCCTACAGATTGTCCATATCGGATTGTTGAAAAGCTGGGTTTAGACTCTATCTATCGCATTTTCGACGTTTTCTCTTTCTGCCAATTTTATACCACTCGATCATTTCATTCATCTGATAAGCTTTTTTAAATAGCTGAATCTGTCATGATTTTAACCAATATCCTATTATGTTTCAGCCGAAGTTCCGTAAACAGGAAAAAGCGTTTATTTTCAATAGAATCATCAGACATATTTCCTAAGAAATTCTATGGATCTGTTTCTATAAAAAATAGCATGAGTTAACCTGTCGGCTTGAGAATTTTAATTTTATATTTAGGACTTACCAGACCGAATGAATGCGTCGAAAGAAAATCGTCGGTATCAACGTTGGAATTTGATAGCAACTGGCGAAATTCTTCGCCGCCGATTTTCAGATGCTTCGATTGCTGTTGTACGACCTAATGAAATGAAAGATGGTACTTTTTCAAGGTTTGATAGATCCACTAAGATTAGAATATTCTATTTATTTCGTAAAAAGATTTTCAAATTTTGTACCTAAAACAACTGAATATGGCGATCCGATTTCGTACGATACAAAAAATTTAATTGGCCTTCATCATTTAAGTATGCTCAATGAACAGATCACAAAAAATGCAACGTTAGTTATTAAATTATATATAGAATTGCCTTTTGTCATCTCTTTGAAGAAAATTTTTAGGCATTCGGCCTTTGATATAATTTTAGTTGGTTTTAGCAAAGGATGCATTGTGCTCAATCAACTTCTGCACGAATTGACAGCATTACGATTAATGAAAACGGACGATAGTCTTTTAAATTTTGTGCCACGCCTTAGCAGATTTATTTGGTTGGATGGTGGACATAATAATGGAAACCAAATAATGATTTGGCCAACCGACGAGAATCTGATAGCAACTCTTGTAGATTATCAAATAAGAACTGAAATCTATGTTACACCATTTCAAATCGACTCAAATAATCCATACAAAAAGTTTCATACTCAACATTATAAAAAATTTTCCGAATTATTACTTTGTCATTCAACAAGTTCATCTAATTATGACGATAAAATAATAAATAAAATGTTTTTTGCTGATGATTCACCTTCGATCGATAAACACTTTGAATTGTTAACTGTATTTTAACTTCGTTGTTAATAGACATAGATGCACATATTTTCTCGACGGATTTTATTCAGTATTTGATTCTTGTGTGGTGGTGTTTTTTTTTTTTAGAAAAATTTCATTTCTAAGATGATTAATATGAAAATATAGATTAGCTAAAATTTATTTCTTATGAAAATTCAGACATAAATCGTAGTTCTGTATTATTTTAATCTATTCTTATTTCTTTAGATGTTCTAAAATGATAAGTAGGAAGATCTTTTCAATGAAAACGCTTTAACAACTACTCAGCTTACATCCATTGAGAATATGTTACTGGACGAATGCAACAAAGCATTTTCCAAACATTGGATAATTCTATTTTTATCAAGTTAATTAAAATAGATCTCATATTTCCATTTTAATCAAGCATAGTCTAATTTAATACAGAAATGCCGAAAGCGAAGGTTATTCTTGATGAATCATAAAATGAGAATATTGGAAACAAAAATTGAGAATGACAGCTTATTGTCGGCAAGTGCCAATTAAAAGAAATACGTCTGTAGTCTATTCGAAGCATGTAGAAAAAAACGTGAAGTTACAATAAGCATATTTTGTCTTCATGGTAAATCACAAGAAACTTTTGTTATTGTCCAATCCCAAGAGACATTATTTTGTGCGCAAACCTTGCATAATGATTGATAAGCATAATGGTTGCATTTTAATGTATTTATTTATAATTAATGCATATAATTAAATTTGTTCTATTGTTAAATGCTTATTTTTTTTAAGCAATCGGTATAGTTTAAACGCGTATATTATGATAAATATCTAAAGCAAAAAAGTTTCGTTTATTTTTTACACTCAACGAGAACAACAACAGAAAATATTCAATATAATTTACTTGTAAAACTGACGCTATAGCACAGATGGCAACAAATATAATGGCAACGATTAGTCCAGCGGCAACAAAGCCCACATGATTTGCCATGTGAACTATTCGGATTAAAAGTTTAATTACAGTTACATTTGTGAAAACAAGTACTATTAGTCCAAGTAATGTAAACTAAATAAATATAAATTATTTATTTATACTATCAAAAATTAGAATAACAAATTGCACGTACAAAAAGTAAACCTGTTTGATAATAACGGTGCGTTACTAATAATCCAAAACCATAGTATATTAACGATACGATAATCAAAACTAATTGAGAACTACTATTTGGTGACTGACTTTCTAACGATTCACTAGCTGCATATGAATGAATAATAAAGAGAAAATTTATCAAAAAAAGTACCTAAATATACAAAAAGGTTTTATATTAAACGTATAGATGCATATCATTTTATGTCTTTGTCTTACTAGATCTATTCCAATAAGAGCAAATAAAAGTTTGCGTGATTGATTTACATCAGGATTTTCTTCTAATGATGGTGGTTCAATAGGTATATTAGAACCGCGAAGCATAGCTGCATTGTCAGCTAGTCCTTTACTGTACATTTCCATGTTATTGCTATCTCACTTCTATCCTATATGCACGTTATAGTTCCCTTTTTTTACGCTTCCAAATGACAGGGAAAAAAGAGAAAAATAAGCTATTTCTGTCTGTCCCTCTCTCTCTGTCTTTCTCACAACGTTATTCAGGACAAACGGAAGAGAAAGGAAGTAAGAACAGAAGAATTCAATAGTTGTGATGAGAAAGTGGAGAATGTGATAGTTGGTTGCTATATAAGAATAGACCGAAAATAGAATTAGATTAATAAATCTACTGAAATCCTTTTCGCATTAGATTTGATATGCTATCATTTGTGAAAAATTGCTTTTATATTCTTTTGTTGAATAATTAAAAACCTCTGTTTTGATTTAATACTGTTATCAGTCTTGAATTCAGTAATATAATTTACATATCTGTTTACCATACAAAAATAAATGTGAAAACCTCGTATTTCAATCCGAGGCTTTCGCATTTATTATACATGATATAGAACTCATCAAGATATATCCCTTGCGAATAAATTGCAAGGAGAAAATACAGACGTGCTAAGTTAGCATGGACCACACTGTATGCAACTCTATCCGGTGACCACTGGCTCTACTCTCAGAGTGATATAATATCTTTAGAAATCGCAGAAATTGAGTTCAGATTCGTGTTTAGCTTGGAAAACTGGGTAAGAATAGTTATTTTTGAATGGATTTGTGTTTGTATCGAGCGGGATGGCGATCGTAAGCAACCTCATGAATCTATAAGAGATATATGATAGATACAGGCATCAGCATTTTCCTAATAAATCACTAATATTAATAGCTATAGAGTTCGGGTTTTTACTTCTCGATAGTCTTTTTGCCTAGCTACAAAACCAGGCATTTGGAAAATTTCGAAACTACTGGTCATCTGAGACATATCTAGGCAGTTTGGTTTCTAGATGCAGTCTTTGTCCATTCTGAAACCTTTTTCAGGCAATGTTTTATTAGGAAGCTACTACTTGGTTCAAAACTAACATCAAATTCGAAATCAGCGTTAAAAATTAAGTCGAATTTTATCTGTTGTTAATAATTCTTATAAAATTGTTTTTTTTGAAAAAATCCCTGTACCCCCCCCCCTCAGGGATGGTCTGGTCAATAATGACAATTTTTTCGATAACTCAGCCATTTCTTGACGGATCCTTCTCATACTCTAACTCGACTGAGATATTGATGAGGTAATTCTGTGTACAAAATTTCACGACAATTAGATGAGGCTTTCAAAAGTTATCGTGTTAACGGACGGCTGGACACACTGACCGAATCTAGTGTACTCACCTTTTGAGTGCACAAAAGCAAATACTCGAAATTCATTTCATGCCGAGATTAATTCGATAAGGATTGGATGATGTCAAAATATGTTCAATATAGAAAAATGACAAGAATCTATTTCAAGTAACCAGTAGCACTGAAGTAAACCAGTAATGCATGAATTATTCAAAAAACTTTGCATGATGGCTAAAAGCATGACTATACATCACTAAACTTTTCTGTTTCTATTTTTTACTCTTATTAGATGAAATTTAAGATTATGCGAAAAACGAGATGTTTTGCGTGCGTGTTATACTAACAACTCCAGTAGCGTGAGCTTTTATTTTGTAAGTGTATACTTCACATTTTCTAGAGCCCAACTATCAAATGATAGATGCCTAATTATAACAGTTTATAGAAAATAGTATTTGATGAAATACTTTTGTTGTTTTTGTTTGCAAAAACACGAACAGGTGCAGTGAACTAGAATAGTTCAACATAGAAATTATAGGATATCTATCAAAAAAATCAACAGGAAAATGTTAGTTTATATACACATGGATCTATAGAACGAGTCTAAATTTTACTCGTGTTGAAAATAATGTTGGCTATACTTGCCGAAGAAATTCTTAAAAAACAAAAATAATTTATTCCATAAGCGTTTTCTTTCTTTTTTTTGTGAATAAATTTACACTGTTGAATAATAAGAAATATAGATTACTCATGTAATAAACATTCCTAGTTCTATATGATATAGATCTACATTTCTGCTAGAATAACATGATTGTATAATAGCACTTTATATTTACGAAATCATTTATTTTGCAACAATTGTGCCTTGGCACATCTCTCCAATATTTGTCAATGGTTTAATGTCTGCGCTCATATTTATTGAGAAGAGAGCAAAGAATCATTAACTCTGACACACATCGAGTGCGAATAATAGATCATCTATACTGGAAGGTCCCATTAAGTGAATCTTCATAAACACGCTTTTATCTCGTAAAATGTTGAACAAGTGTGAAAATAACCTTATTTGAAAGCTACTTACGTTAGAAGTTTTAAGTACATAAACAAGAAATAATTGCTTGTTATGAAAGAGCAATTTTGAACAGAGCACGCGTATTTTAGATGCCAGCCGCTTGTTCTCTATCACTGCCGAGTCGCACAGACGCGATAAAATTCCATTAAGACTTCTCAAGTTTCTGCTTCTGTAAACTATTCAAAATGAATCGATCAAGGTGTATGAAATTAATCTAACCAGCACACATAATGATTTCTCTTTATTTATTTTTGATTAGATTCTCGTTGCGGCCACTTTGTTTAGTCAAGTAAACGAAAACAATCGCAACGTAAAATCCCGAGATCGAAGAACAACAGCCACCTCTCGGAAGAATCATGACAACATTTAATATGTAAAAAAAAAATCATTATCAACGTATAATTAAGTATGTAATTCTTGTGAATTTCTTAATCAAGATCAAACTTCCCAATGGGATCGAATTCTGTAAAACAACAATAATAAAAAGAAGAGAATCTCGTTTGATAGTCATGAATAATAAAAATATCATATAAATATTCTTGTCTTATTAGAATCAAAAACTGTTTCACTGATTGCATATTCAACTCTTCCGAGGTTTGCCAAACTAGGATGATAATTTTTTCGGATCCAATGCGCACCATGAATACTTTATCTGACTCATAGTTATATTGTATCTTTAACGAAGCATTTCGATGATATATTCCTGTCTAGTTCTTAGTTTTGGATTGAACTTCTATGAATCGAAAATAATGAAGTATCATCCATCTATATATAAAAGATATGAAATTTAAGAAAAGTCAATTTATCATTAGTGCAGAATATTCTATTTATTGTCGTTTCAATCAAGCTAATTATATAGATTATTTTATTAAGTTTGCACTTGCTTAGTTTCATAATGCGCACATTTTTTACTGACTCAACTCTGAATTAATTCTACAATGAGGACATTTCCTCTTTCTATTAAGAAAAAATGTCAATGGTTAGAACACTATTAGATTTCTATTTATAATTCTTCTTTAACGTTACAGTTTCTTGTTCTTACTACTGCTTCTATTCTGTAATAGGACCTAGAAAACTTTTGCAATATGTAGGCGATCAGACCCGATAAGGTCACTTAGAATCAGTTAACGCTGTTTAATAATTATAACATATAAATTCAATCATTTCATTCGATAAGCATCATTTTCTTATCGATCATGACATCAGATAATCTAGTGAATATCAAGATATTTATGTAACTCATTGTCATAAACTTGAAAAAAAGATTCGATTCAATCAAAGATCTTAACAAAGTATGAATGTCTATTGAAAACAGAAACAAAAGGCTACTGGATACTTTTTGAAGTACCTTTTATTGTTTTAGAAACAGGATACAGCGCTATCATTGTTACAATGAATAGCAGGAAATTAAATCGTATATAAATAGAACTAGGCGTCTCTGTGATGCTATCTGAAAAGCTGTTCCATTTCATTTTCTAAAACAAAGAATGCTGGAAAGTAGTTTTCTATATAATAAGAAACCGCAGGCGCATATGGAGGAGACGATGAAAGTTTTTAAGTAGAATACTTATCACGCCTTGCCGCTTAAATATCTAAATCGAAGATCTATTCCACCGCTGAATTTAGATCTTCCATTGACATTTTTCATGCACAATTGATACTCGAAAATTAAGTGTAGTTATCTTATGAATCTCTCGGAGAATAATTGAATACAAAAATGTAGGCTCGTTTTCTTAAAGAAGACTGAGCGAAACGGATCGTCTTCGAGTTTTTTCTTCGATACCATGGTTGACCAAGTAGATACAATGAAGTTATTTAGCAAATTAAAACATCAAACGATGATCACGATAAGTATTTTCTCATAATTCTTTTCTTTTCATTAGAATAACTGCTTCATGGAAAATTTCAGTCAATTGACTATGTGCATACAGAAGAGAACAAAAAATCAATAAACTTGTAAAACATTTCTGAGAATACATTTAGTGTGATGATTTTGGTCAAGTTTGAAAATATGGTTAGCGTAACGAAAGATGTACGTGTAGAGCATTACACATTTTTTTGGTAAAGAAGAAAAATTTTCTTAATTACATCGTATAATATTTGTAACTAATAGGAATTAATGTACTTGTTTTGAAACAGTTTATTGCACGTGAATTATTACACTATTCTAACAGTTGCTCCATCGTCATATCTGAACAATGATTGAAAGAAACCATCTATTCGAACTATCGCAATACCATTTTCGCCATCTAGTGTACAAAAGGTGTCATTTTAAATATTTGTTGAAGAAAACAAATGACTATTAGAAGAGAAAAAGAAAATTATACAACATCGACGCTAAGAATCACAGGAAAAAAAGTTATTTCAACGATCAATATAATATATATTAAAATGAATGGCTTAATCAGCCTGCTCTTGGTTGATGACTAGACGTAAATCATTAACAAATTTTCTTTCAAGTATCTTCATTGATTGACTAAGTTCTCTATATTGTGTCTCACAATCATATTCGTCATCATTAGCAGCATCTTCAATTTGCCAACTATTACTAGAAGTTGAATTTGTTTCATCATCACAATTGCCACTATCAATTTTCGGTGTTATATCAGTTTCTTGTTTGATCTCGCCAGTTTGAAGATCAGATTCTGGACGAGAATGTTGTTCTTCATCAACATCAACTTCATTTTCACATTGATCAATACAAGTAAAATTATTATTCTAAAAACAAAATTTTCCATTAAAATAAATTCTAAATAGATATGGACAAAACGATCTCAACGAAATCTTATTTATAAACCGGAAATAATATTTTTACTCGACTGATGACCGAGACTAGTTGCACTCATTTATGCTTATAAATTACTACATACATCTGTTGGAAACATCTTTGTTGATAAAAAACTTAATGCATTGAACAGTTCTCCAACCGGTTTTAATGATAATTCTAAATGAAACAAATTTACATCAAGAAATGAAATTCTTTGTATGTACCTTTTGAATCTACATCATTGGAAAGAAATTCTCGATAATTGTCCAATACTCGATCCTGAAAAGATTTACAAAAGAATAAATTCTAAACGATTTTCTTTCTTCTACTTACATGACGGTATTCAAGAAAAGTAAGAACTTTATCCAATGATATATCTTTCTTCTGAGGAAAATAAACTGTTGTTAGTGCAGGTCGAAAAAATGTCCATTTTTCTCGAAGATTAATCAATTCTTTATACAATCGGTAATCTTCAAAAAAGACCTCATTTTTACGTTGGATTTCATTTGCTCGATTTTCCATTGTTGATGCTGACGGTGTATCAAACATATTATATGCATATTTATGACGTAATTCTAATATAGTATCAGCCGATAAAAAGATTTCATTTTGTAATTGCATTTCGAGTAGACCACTATCTTTATCAAATTCCTCTAAACATTCATCTAATCGGCCAAGCTAAATCAAAAGAGATAAACATGAAATCTATACTCCACAATAAAATATTTACTTTAGCTTCCCGACGATTTTCAATATATGTATGAATGTTTTTACTTGCTTTAACAATACGATCGATGGCATCATCAATAAGTTTTTTAGCATGTTCATGTGCATCTTTTGCTTGTTGATCAATAAATGTTGTTACTTCAGCAACGCCTACACGACGATTACTCGACATCTGTTCATGTATTGAACGCATATCATCAAGAACATTTTTACGGTGACACAAAAAACATAAGCGACAATATGCTTGTGAACAATGATGGCAAATAATTTCACCTGAACCTTCACACGATGGAGATATGCATAGCTTGGTTTGTAACTTTACTGAACGCATTTTTGTTTGTTGATTATTTGTGTCGGTAATATTCGACATACTTGCACGTTTTCTTGTTTTGGATGCAGACAAATGACTAGGTCAGCAAGAGAAGAATGTTTCAAATTGTGTTGGTTAACCTACGGTATGATTTTGTTTTTTTGTATTTCTTTTTTCCGTTCGATCAGCGCTGCCGACGACCATGATGACCGGAGAACAAAAAAACAGAGAGAAGAAGAACGCTAGCATCATGGGCTATATGAACTAAGATAAAATGACAGCTGATATGTATAGTTACAGTTGTGTTTTCTTCGTCGCTTTTGATCGAGTAAAAGAGAGAAAATGGAAAAATTGTCAAATCGGCTATATTTATTGAGTGGTCAACATTAGGAGTAATCGGTAGATTCTGTTAAGTCCTACGAAGGTATGCAATTTAAAAAAAATGCAACTCAACTAGTTGCTGAATTGGAATGATAATATGATTATCCGTTGAAGTTTATTTGCAATTTGTCACGGGATTAACGATCTGCTATATCAAGAAGTTAGTAATAATCGTTGTTTAACTCATCTAAACGATTGTAATTCATGGTTTTCTTTGATGAGCAAACTTAATCAAATCAACCAATTAAATATTTCACCAAGTTATAAATTAAAACAGAAGATTCTATTCGTTTGATTAAGAAATTAAATTTTAGGCTTCCTTTTACTATTTTGTCATCACTTTGAATACATCATTTTCTGCGTGAAAGTCGACGAAGATTCACGCGTCAGGTCTTGTGAAAATAGTACACATACCAAATATGTATTTCAAATATTTCGCGTATTCATGCAGTAGTATATGAATTATTCCTATCTCTATTATTTACTGACGCTTTGAAAATCCGTACATTTCAAATCGACAGAACTAATTATGAAGAATCGTGACTCCTACACATCATCGTCGTCCGGTGGAAAGTTGAAGATTTCAATTGAATTCAAGTTTCAAATTTGACACTACTGGTTGAATGATACGCTTCTTTTCTATTAAAGAGTAATTTTCATGTATGAACTCTTTTTCTTGCCGAATTATAGAAATGTCTCTGTTCTACAAGTAAACAAATCGCATCATTGAAAACGATCTATTTTGCATTATCATCAATAAAATGTTTTTGCAATAATCAATTCTACAATTGGTACTGAGTGAAATATTTATTATGCTTTCTTGCGCGTATGTTTCATTTCTACTAATGGTACCTATAATATATATATACATTAGTGTCTGTTTTCTGTAAACGCATAATCTATTTCTTTACTATTTGTTATAAACTGCTGTCCATTTTGATTTATGGAACTTGTGTCCTTTTTTATTTTCCCATTATCCAATGTGGTGCATCATGATTTAATACTAGGACCTACAATTAAATATGTGTATAACCATTGATTTCTCTGTGTTGGATAAAATATAGCTTCGGTGAAAACTTTTCCCTGTTTCCAGTTTTACTCGCCATTATTCTGTCATATACGTATGTCTTAATAATAGATTCGTTGTCTAATTCTTAGTCATATTATAGATGCATATTACTAACGAAAGCGAAAGTGGTTATTTTCACATTACACAGTGTGTTACTTAATTCTTTTTTTCCAACAAAGAACACCTAAAATCTAGCAACGGAAATATCTAACATACGTATTCAAATTTCTGTCAATTTAACAACATAAAACAAGTCATTTTGTTGGCTTCCAGTGCGCATTTTGATGAACACCAAAAGCGAAGGAAAAATACGAATGAGTTTTTGAAGAAAGACACAAGAACTTACATTCTTTGGAAATTTCATTTGAGTACCATATAATATATAAATACAAAAAACTACTGAAATCTGGAAGGATCATCTGATGATATTCTTTAATTAATTCTTTTGTTAAATAAGCACTTGCTATTGTTGTGATAATTGAAATACTCGGTTGTCAAATGTGATAATGCCAAAGTTTAAGCCTTTAGGGGAAAGAAAATGGATAAATTATTATTATTATTATTATTCAAGAGTCTTCATTTTTAGCACAGAAAAAGTAGGTTACTTCGTAGTTATACGATTTGACGCAGTTGTATAGAATATTATTCAATACAGCAACATTTCCAAAAATAATGTGACTATTTTTATTTGAAGACTCATTGGCTCGTAGAGTTCAACAAAACACAAGCATTTATTCTAAACTAAATATATTCTGACAGTTATTCCTAATCGGCTTAGTGTTTAACAGTCGATGCATTTTGCTTAGTTCTTCTATGTATCGATGTACATCGATCAATAGTAATTAATGGAACATTTGATTTAGGAAAAATATGACTATTTTAATACTCGATGAGAACAATATTCATTGGGCTTGTATTTGGAAGTATTGCCATTGTGTTGCTACTTATTTATATAGTCGCCGAACAGTATTCTTAATATTAAATGATCATCATGTGACTCAGATATCTAAAAAGAATTCAAGCGTCAAAAGACAAATTTTGCTATTCAGCAGTTCGATAGACTGTATTTCATGAGTTATATTTTTAAGACACCAGTGATGTGTATAAGTTTGAATCCTCGAAAATAATACTGATAAAATTTTGAGTAGCCAAATCAAAGAAGAATATATATTTAGCAACGAGTTGATCCGATATCATTTAATATAATCATATTCGATTAGTGAGGGGTAAATATTAAGCTGGCATGCAAACACGTATAGAGCTCAGGCATTCAAAAGATGAATGTTTATGTATTTATTGATATTATTTTTAAACAAGACTACAAGCTACTGTCTAATTTATTTATGCGCGTGTTCAAAGCAATTATTAATTGGTAGATACTCACTAAAACAAATGATGATTGTCAGATCAATGTGGGAGCTCATTTTTAAAATCAACAAAAACAGTTTTCTAGCGATCACTGATCATGTATGTTCGGATGTTCCTTTTTTTTTTGAAAATATAGTATTGACAAATATTGCTGCGAGGAAGCTTGAAAATTAAAACATCTTATAATCTCTATTCTGATTTGACAAGTTTATTTTAGCTTGAGAAAAGAAGATAATTATGAACTTTATTCTGACTGACTATGGAATATACAGAATGTATCTTCTGGGAGAAAAATCACTGTTGTATAAATCAAAGTCAGTCAGCAAAGTTAGTTTTATCTTTCAACATATACGCAAAATTATTATCAAGATTTTTCAATGCAAGATCGCATGAGAAAGTGGGAAATAAATCAAATTACGCATTTTGAGAAGCCATCTAAAACGAATTGCCACAAAAATACGTTTACCTTATAAAAATGGATCAAAACTCCGCATATATTTTATGGAAGCTTTTAAAAATCTTTGAGCACTGACTGAAGTAAGCAAGAAAACGATTGACGATTGCTCTTGACACTGGATATAAGGTTTTCATTATCAATATTTAAAATCATTGTTTGTCAAATGTTTAGAATTATGTGTAACATAATTTAAAATAAATTTTCGAAGTCGATAGGGTACTAGTGTACAGCCATATTTTCTTTCTATCCACAATAATATCAGACTAATATCAACAGATCGATCATAAACAAGACGTTAGACACACGCAACTTGTAAACATTTTAGTAGCACTACATCAACGACTTGGTTGATATATAATCCAAAAATGATCTATCAATAAGATCTCTTGGCAAAATATAAATTATCATCTTCATTCGATTTTTCTATTCAACGCATTGGTACTGTTTGTCGGTAGAAGAATGATACAAAATAGAGTTCAGCCCTTTTACTATCTGGAATAAGTTGTTTTTTTTTCAAATAAAAACGATATAAATGTCAAATAAAAATAAAGGAATGACTAGAAAAAGATGCTAATAAAAAAGATCGAATATCTTTGTTAATCATCTACTTGATTGTTAAGCATTTTCGGCAAATAAAGATTGAGAAAATGTGAAAGATCAGCAAATAATTGATGTTGTTCATTTGTTTGCAATTCAAGACGAATATGTGCTTTGTTTTTCGTTTCATCACTTGTTGCCTGCAATAATTTTATTTCCATCGAAAAATATATAGGTGTTACTAGATGATGATCTTTGTCATCTTTTAATTGAAGACTAATTAACTTTTCACGTTCGAAGATAGCAGCACTTTTGTTTTCATTTTCAATGCGTCGTTTAAGTTTACGTCGATCTTGCCATGTTCGATAAATAACCTAAACAAAATCGATAGTAGAGAAGTTTTATTTTTTGTAAATATTGCTTTTAATTACTCGAAAATAGATTTTTTCTTTTGAATACGAACTATCCTTTGTAGGTGTGAGTTTATATTCATCATCATCTACCCGACGTCGTTTCGTTGATAGTGTTTCATCCATTTGTTCAGCTAAACTATTTGGCGTTACATTCGTATTATCTATTATTGATGGACTTGCTGGTCGTTTTTTCCTGATCATTTCATAATTAATTTGTTCGAACAATAATATATCTTTTAGTATAAAATCGACATTTTCCTTAAGTTGTTCTTCGTTAAGTTCATTTGAAAGCAACTCGATGGTATTTGTTGATTGTGAATAATTATATAATTTTTGTTGTTCATGAAGAAAATTATTCTTTGGCAAAGATTTGCGTGTTAAAATTAATGATAAACCCCAGGATTTATGTTGCCGTTTTTTTGAGCATTCATCAAATATTTGATGTGCTAACGAGCACTCTTCTTGAAATTTTAACCAATTCGATTGCGAAATATTAGATGTTAAATTATGATCATGTTCAAATGGATCCAATATTGAAAATGGTATTGTATTTGAAGTTTTAGGTTCAAATTCACCTGTCCATGGTGACAGTTCATATTGGTCTGCGTTGAAAGTTGAGTAAAATAGGAAAAAACGTCGAAGCATGTATTCTAAACATGAAAATGTTCAATGGTATACAATATGCTTACTGATGAGACGAACATCCGAGTAGATAATGCCTCATCTTATTCGTTTGTTCAAGAATATCTAAGTGAGATAGGCATAAATACCGCCGTACTCTTATTTATGCGCATATGAAACCAATTAAGAAGCATTATACTGAATTTTTTATTTATCTGCCGAAAATTGTAGAAAATTGAATTTTGATCTAAGATTTCGTCTATAGATAGTGATAATTAATCTGTTTAGAATGTCTTACAGTTTTCAGTTAAACAGAATTCTTCTTTTGTTTTTCAAATATTGAATTTTCTAATAAACTCAAGAAGAGAGCTGCTAAAATTGCATATCCCAAAGTTATATTTTTGCACGTTTTAACTATTTCAAGTTTATTCTCATTGTATGTTTACACAATATTACTGAGTTTGGATTCATTTCATATAAATATATATCTGTCTGTCTGTCTGTTAGAGAAGCCGAAATACTTCCAAGTACTCCAATATTTGAGTACGATGAAGTGTTCGAGCCTAACTACCAAACCGATTTGTATAATATGAACTTCTATTAATATATTTGCATCGGGCAAACAAGCATGTTTTGGCAGCTTCACAATTCACAAGAAGTATGTTTTTGCCTACTGAAAATCTTACAGCTAGTTGGTATGTCAGTCGAACTAATTATGTCACTTTGAATTAATATTTCAGCAAATAATAAAATTTGTATCACTTTGATGTCGTTAAAAACGTCATATAAATTCAAATCTCTTTTCTTTTTAAATGCTTGTACATCAAACTATAAATTTTCTTTCTAGGTTGGTTACTATTACTTGAGGGTCTACTAGGAAATTATCTTTACTGTACAACTAAATTATTTCAACATATTCTTTACCTAGAGATATATTTGAAATATTTCTTTTGATTTCTTTTATCTCTGGAACCGAGCAATTCCATGGACCATATTGTCGTTTACGAGCTAAATATATGCATGAAATAAGACAAAAATCTATACATGACGGAGTTTTCGGATTTACTTGCATGTTCCACCAGATTTTGAACATTGGGTAATTGTTGATTATCCAACTGTAATGCGCAAACAATCATCCAGAAGACTGTATATGTATTAAATCGATGCCCTTTTCCGAGAAGATCTTTTTGTTTAAGCCACAAACGAATAGTATAAAGTAATGAACGTAATTTAGGTTCAAATGCAAGAAAATATCGTACTAAATCAGTATTTGCAACCGCGAGACTGAAAAAGAACATATTATTTAGTTTTAAATATGTTTAAATGACAAGAAGATAACTAACTGGTTATTAACAGATAATTCACAGAAGAACTTTTGTTGCTTATGACAAAATCGAACTACCGGACAGCGAGCTTGTGAAATACGTTGAACATGGCATACATAGGCTGCATACGATCGAAGTAGACGACGAATATAATCGAGTCGATCCGTAACAGACATTTGTATAAGATCATCGGCTGAATAAGTTGATGGCGAGGATAATGTAAGATTCGATGACTCATCACTTGTGTTTCGTTTAAACTAATTAATTAAACATTTGAAAAGAATTTAGCTTATTTAACAACATAAAAAAATAATCGCAGGTTTCATTCTTTAAAAAAAATTCAACTCCGTTAGGCTGATATTGACTCTTTCAGAAATAAAATAAATTGTTATAGGATATATTATTTTCCTAAGATTTCCTTTATCTTTGATTTCGAACAAATTAACTGTCTCCACAAACATATGCAAAACTTTCGTTTCATTTCTTTTTAAAAGCTTTGATGTGCTGATTACTATGTAAAACAAAAAGCATCTTAGTCGATAGATGTTCCTTTCTTAAACCGTGACATACTTTTTTTCAAACAGGAAAACAGATTTTACTTTATAAAATGAAGTTTCTCGAAGAAAATCGACTTAACAAAAAAGATTTATCTTCGATTATTGCCTTAATTAAAGCTGATATTTATGTTTTTACTAAAGATAAATATCTGTGCTGTAATGCTACTTCTATTAGACATTTTCTTTCAATAGTACGGAAGTTTTCTCTTGCCAATCAAGAAAGAAAACACACTGATATCCGGATATATATATATATTAACAACAGGAAAAACAATTTTTTAGTAATAGTTATTGTTATTTGATTGATTATTTGACATTTATTAGATAGCAATATATATATATATATACATTAGGATATATAGCCAATACTATTTTATCGTCCAATCAGATACATCTAATTGTTCATTTATAGTGTAAATAAATAACACAAGGTTTCTGTACCTTATTTTGATTCATATCTATATCATTACTGCAGCTATTGTCATCGATATTCATTGATTCTCCACTATTATTTGATGATGATAAATTCTGTGGTTCAATATAAGTTTCATTTAGTATAAGAACAAGATCCATGTCAGATAAATGTGTCGCTAAACCATTTGCCATGGATCCAGTTAAGCATAGTTTTACTTCTAGAAATCAGTTTTGTCGAAAATAAAAATTCTGATGCACTGAAATCTTTTTACCTGGAAAATGTTTCAGAAATATAATTTCTAATTCTTTAAAAAATCCTTCTCTCATATTGAATACTTCATCTGTAATTTTTTCTTGCTCAACGATTGACGCAGCTTGTTCATCAATCTAAATTAATTAAATAATTAAAATTAATTTCTAACTATCTCCTACTGTTGATTTGTTATTTAAATTTTGAACCATTAATGCATGTTGTTCAATTTCTTTTTCTTTGTTAAAATTCAAAAACTCATGTTCACTGACTAACATTCGTTTTGATTTAAATTCATGATGACTACGTTGTTTAACCTTCAAACGTGAACCATCATCTAGTTTATAGTCATCGCCATGTTCTAAACATCGATTTGTTGAATCGATATTATCAAATTCAATAATAGCGTAAAGATGCTTCAAAAGAAAAAGAATCGATTTCATAAATCCATAATAGAAAAATTATAATTCAATGCTTACTTTTTCTTTGTCAATAAAAGCATTTTTTATTTGTCCGAACCGCGAAAAATAAGTTTTCAAAATATTTTCATCATGTTCAGGTTTAATACGTGATACATAGATACTTGCATTTTGTGAAGTTTCGAAACGTTCACGAACATTTAATAATGCTTGGTGACGTTTACCCTTTGTATGGTCAGCTAAAACCCGTTCTTCAAGAACAAAACAAAAGAATAGAAAAAATACGATTCACAATTTGAATATATTTAACGAACCATCTGGTACTTCAATACGACATAGATCACAACGGAGAACCATCGTTTCGATTCTTTCTTTATTACTTATATTCGAATGTATAGTATGAATTGCAGAAATTCAATTTCACAATAATGACCAATAATAACTATAGATGTCGTTAACTGAAAATAGAATGATTATTTTTTGTTAAATAAAATCCATAAAAATGTCAGAAAAAAATAAATCAACTAGAAAAAATTTAATTCATACTCATGTTTTTCTATTGATGAATCGATTAAAGAAACAATGAAGCCACAATATATTTGTTTATTTGTTTTTGTCAATCGGTTTGAGTGCTTCTTTTTTTTCTTCTGTCGTGACATCTACTTCATCCGTTTTCAATATTGTCTAATTTATTATTTTAGATTTTTATCTCTTTGCTTTTTATTTCCTTCGAATAACGATATACTTCTAGCAGTGCTGGTCAATATGTCAACAAGGTAAGAAATTTTCTTTTTTTTTTTGCCTGAAGAAAAGGTCAAACGGTTATGTTATAGCATAGTTCACGACGGATAGTATGTTGATATATAGACATATCTATATTTCATCATGTTTAGGTTATTTTTATCAGCTATCATTTATATGATTCACTCAAATATTTTTTTTTCTTCTCGAGAATATTTTCCTTGGGCATTTCTGCATCAACCAATATATGTATAATATGAACAAAGAATTCATCATTAAATCAATTACCTATAGTATCCGATTTCTTTTAGTATCAATTCTCTGGAGTATTAATATTAGAGAGCGTCTATTAATTAGATTAAGTGAAATTATAGATGGAAACTCCAAACGGTTTAACACATTCAATATCATAAACCGCGCTACCCTTGCGGTTCTTTTCTTTTTTTTTTTTCTTTTCTTTAACTTATTGTTCGCATTAAAGATCATTTAGCCGCAATGGCGAGAAAAAAACGACAGAAAAAGAGAAACTACGACACGCAAAAAAAATATGTCGTTCGGCTGTTATAATAGTAATAATGGAGTGGTACCATTTAGTATTCTTCTCAGCTAATGAGAGCGGACGGGCGAGAGAGAGAGAGAGAAAAAAGAAGAAACAGAACATAAACGAGACGAAAGCGGGAAGAAAGGCATTACTACCACCACCTTTGAACGGAAAGAAAGAATAGAAGAACGGCGATGAACGCAAATGATTACCAACATCACCGCATCTGCAAGTAGAAACAAGGATAGATAAAAAATGTGAGCGATATTCTTTTCCTTTACCCCTAAGATAACCGTCTGACCTATGGACCAGCCAACAAAAAGCATACACTCGACATAGAAAGAAAGAAAAAAGAATATGTATACACCATCACATCTCTACATAGACGAAGAATTCATTGTTAGATGTTTAGTGGTAAACTGAGAACGTAATAGAGACAAACGCGCAGCTATGGTTGATACAGCATCCTACCATCAACAACAGGCTTAGTAAGCAAGAAAATAAATCTAAAAAGAATTCTTATTAATTAAAGATAAAAGAAAGAGTTGGGATTTCTCATGAGAATTTTTCACGTTCTATTCTGTACGTATTAATTTATGAATAATTTTCAATGCATAGTATAATCGAAGCGGAACAAAAAATCAAAATGAACGATTAAGTTGTCTGTCCGAGAACACATTATGCATATCATCAACTCTTTGTTGGACGTACTCCTCGTTTTTGTGTTTTGCTTTTTACTATATAAACATAACTCTTTATTACCTTTTTTGTTTTGTATCTTATTTTAGTTTGGACATGTCGTCAGCAACAGCTAATGGTATTCATCAAACTCAAATAAATGGTCATGCTTCTCAACAAGATCAAATTCCATTTAATATTGACCAATTAGCAGCTGATTTTGATTTGGCTGGCCAAGATGAATGTAATTCATCTGCACGTATGTTCGAACGTACGCGTATACAAGTTTTGGCTGATGAACGTGGATATGTACAAAAGAAAACATTTACAAAATGGGTCAATTCACATTTAACGCGTGTTGGCTGTCGTATTAATGATCTATATACTGATTTAGGCGATGGAAGAAATTTAATTCGTCTTTTGGAAATATTAAGTGGAGAACGTTTACCAAAAGCTACAAGAGGAAAAATGCGTATACATTGTTTGGAAAATGTTGATAAAGCTATTATGTTTTTACAAGAACAACATGTTCATTTGGAGAATATTGGGTAAGCAATAAATCATAGTTCATAATTAAGAGAAAAAAAATTGAAATTAATTCATCCTATAAGGTTCATTATTTTTTTTTGGCCGTGATATGTTTTACTTATTGAGAAATAGATACTATTGTTTGATCTTATATTGCCAGAGAACGTAAATGTAACTATTGACATAGACGATGGGTGCTGAGAACATGCTGACTTTACATAGAGTTTCTCGGCTTGTTATCTGTAATAATTTTTGATGTTGAATTGTAGTCTTTTTTCATCTTCTTAAATTATATATTCATGTTGAATATCAGCTTGAGTCTATATTAAAACGAGACAATAAATAGTCAATTCAGGAAATTGAAAAATACGAAAGATAATTTCATCTTGCTGAATAATAACAAACGCAGCAAATTTTAGTTCGTATTCATCAATAAAGGATTTAGTTTACTGATAAGTAAATGATTCGGAATTTTCTATATCAATATGAATGAGCAGAGTCTTACAATAGAGTTCACACCGGACGTATGGCTCATTACAAAACTAATGAAGTGTCGGCCCATCTTGCAATAGAAAATGGTTCATAAAATATAACTTTCATATTGAGTACATCTAAACAGAAAATTTCATCAGCTGAAGGTTGTTCTCGTACTTCATAAATATTTGCATGGCACTTTAGCAAACTTACTTCATTGTGAAGATGTTTGATTTTCTTCTCGATCGATGACTTTTCGGTTACTGTACAGATGCTACTATGTCGTATTCAAATAAGCTGTATCTTATCCATTTATTTATTTTTGTTCATATTGTTGATGTTCACTATGGGTATATCTATTTTTAGTGCTCACGATATTGTCGATGGAAATTCTTCTTTAATTCTTGGTCTTATATGGACTATCATCCTTCGTTTTCAAATTCAAGACATTACAATTGAAGAATGCGTATCAACTGAAACAAAATCAGCTAAAGATGCCTTATTACTTTGGTGTCAAATGAAAACAGCCGACTATCCAACTGTAAATGTAAGAAATTTTACAACATCATGGAAAGATGGTCTTGCATTTTGTGCCTTAATACATAAACATCGTCCTGATCTTATACCGCAATTTAAAACTTTAACAAAAGAAAATGCAAATCATAATTTACAATTAGCATTTGATCTATGTGAAAAACGTTTAGGTATAAGTAAATTACTTGATCCTGAAGATGTTAATGTTGATTATGTTGATGAAAAATCTATTATAACATATATTGTTACATTATATCATTATTTTTCAAAAATGAAAAATGATAGCGTACAAGGTAGACGTTTAGCTAAAGTTATTGGTTCGGCACTTGATTCAGAAAAAATGGCTAATGATTATGACCGTTTAGTATCTGATTTATTAGCTTGGATTGAACAAACAATCGTTACATTAAGTGATCGACAATTTCCGAATTCACTTCCACGTGTACATGAAAAACTCGTCGATTTTAATCGTTATCGTGTTATGGATAAACCAGCTCGATTTGCTGAAAAAGGAAATTTAGAAGTTTTATTATTTACATTACAAAGTAAAGAACGTGCTAACCAACAAATACCATTTCAACCGCGCGAAGGAAAAATGATATCGGATGTAAATCGCGCATGGGAAAATCTTGAACGTGCTGAACATGACAGAGAATTAGCATTAAGAGAAGAAATTCTTCGACAAGAACGTTTAGAACAATTGGCAACGAAATTTAATCGTAAAGCTGGCTTACGAGAAAAATGGTTGACCGACAGTGAAAAACTTGTTGCAAGGTAATTTAATTATTGATAGGGATGTAATAAAGTGAAAGGAAATTAGAAATAGTCAAGTAAATAAACATTGAACCATTGGATATGGATACGACCTTGACCGCGTTTGCTTTCAGGCTTGTTTATAATAAATCTGCACATAGTTGGGTTCAGAAATACACGTCCCTGATTTTTTTTAGCGTGTTTTAATAATTTCCCATGGACCCCAACGTACATTGAAGGAAATAAATACTCAGCATTGTTTGAATACATTGCATAATATTATCGCGTTGAGCTCGAATTTGACGGAGGACAAGGTTTCATAATAGATTTCAAGTTAAGATCATCGATGTTCTCGAATAAAAATAATTCCAAACAAGCTATTTTGTTTACTAAACATTCCTTATGTGAGCACTTCGTTACTCCGGACAGTTGGCGTTTATTTCCGATTCTATGAACAATAACAAACTATGTAATACGACCAGCAGATGTTTTATCATTCAAGCATATAAGGAGAAATAATATAATGCTTTATACATATATATATTGTTGCATGACAAACAAGGATGGGATACACAGCAACACATTTATTAGCGATGAATATTTAAAAGGAAAAAAACAACAGGATTTTACAATAGTTGCAGTTCTTGTTGTACAATCTCCGTCTTGTCTTCATACTCTTAATTAGTAATAATTAAGAAGAATTGAATTAAATGAGTAGTTTGAGTTGATACCACTAGTTTCTAAATGACATTCGATTTTATGATGAGACTAAATTCCAATCTCGATATACATATCTTAATTCGAACTGTAATTCGTTGTATTGAAAGTACAACGTTCGTATAAACAAGGTAATTATAGCTCCCATCAATTCTCATTTGATTGACAGTATGTGATATGTTTATTATAATTGCTTGTTTTTTTTTCTGATACAACTAGTATTTTACAGTTGTCAACTGTTTCCCATCGAGACTAAACTTAAGTACCTATTGATTTAATTGCAATGAACTCATCGATGCGACATAATATCGACTATGTCACTGATAAAAATCACTCAAGAAGAATATATTCAGTTTTTCGCTAGTTTTTTTTTAACAGCCTTCGTTCTTTTAAAGACAGACAATTATGCAGTTCAAGAGTTGAAATTCTCTGACTAGACAAAAATTGTATAATATTGACCGATCAAAACACGAATGTTTATTCAATTCTTCACTTCTATGTTTTTGCCGAAGGCATATTCATAAGAAGCATTTATATATAAAAAGAGATCAAAAACTCACTTTATGTTGAAATCTGTAAAATAGACCACTAATTTATGACGAACTGAAGTGCCCAGCAAACATTTATATGCTTTTAATGAAAAATATTTAAATAAACAAGAAGCCAACAAAATAGCATTGGATTGTGAGCTTATTCTTTTGTTAAATAAATGAAAATTACCGGACTGTTTCTGCTATGAAAGAAGAAGATTGTTATAGACTTCGTCGAACTAACAAATATGTTTCTCTCAGCTAGAGTAGTTATCCTAGAGATCTGTTTCCTCCAAAAAATGCAGTTCAACTCATATTGCCGCATACTTACTTTCAATTTGATATTTTTTCAACATTAACTGTGATAAATATGTAAAACTGTTTTGTTTTTAGTGATCAATTCGGTACAGATTTAGCTTCAGTTGAAGCAGCATTCAAAAAACAAGAAGCTATTCAAACCGATATAGCTGCCTTCGAAGAACGTCTTCAAAATATTATGGCTATCGCCAATGAACTTCAAACTGAAGACTATCATGATTATGCGACAATTGAAGCACGAAAAAAGAATGTCGAAATGCATTGGGAATATTTAATTAGTTTAGTTACTAAACGTCGACAATGTCTTGAACTTGCGTATAATTTACAACGTGTTTTTCAAGTAAAACGAATCATAGGCCGTTTTGATCTTTTAAATAATCTAAGTTGATTCTGTTATTTAGGAAATGCAATATATATTTGAATGGATTAGCGATTTAAAATGGCGATTAAAATCTGATGACATTGAAAAATATGTTATGTCAGCTGATGATCTTCTTCAACGACACTCATTAATTGAAGCTGATATATATGTTATTGATGAACGTTTAAAACGAGCCATAACCGATGCTGATGAATATCTCAATCCTGATGTTAATATTGATGGTTATCGTCCAGCCACACCGGAAGAAATTGAAATACGTATTCATAATTTGCAAAAAGCTTATGAAGAATTAATTGAATTGGCTCGTAAACGCCGAGACTTACTTGAACAAGCTAAAGTTGTATCGAGATTTTATTCGGATGTTGGTGATGCAGAATTTTGGATTGATGAAAAACTACAAACGATGACATCACCGGATATGGGTCATGATGTTAATACAACTGATAGTTTGGTTGCCAAACATAAATTAATTGAAAATGATATGAGTGCAAGGTAAATAAATGTGATTTTCTCTATCGAACTTAAGCATTGGAAACGGACAAATTTAAAGTTAAGCAAACTTATTTGCATTTTAATGATAGCGAGTAGGAAAACTTGCAATTTGTGTATAGTTGAACTTATCGAAGAGGTCAAGGATTTCATTTTTCATTTGGATGGGTTTTAACTTCTTATAGGTTTTAACACATTTCATATTGCAAATCTGACTACGATGCTCATATAACTATCAACAGGAGATTACTGTTCGGGGCAAAACTATCAGTGTATCCTGATAGAATGATAGCAATAAGATATACAACGTACCTAGTGCAGATTATAACACATGAATGATCAGTAGGGTTTTTCTCAAATTCTTAAAACCAGATATTAAATGAAAAAAAAATCTTGAAAGACTGTTTCTTCGACTCCAAATATTAACACAGAACTGGAGAGCTCTTCTTACTAGATATTCAACGATATGAAATATGTAATCTTAGCAAGCTTTTTATCCCTTTGTCTCATTTCATTATTCAGAATCTTTAGATAAGCCTCAGACAAATATTACTAGTCCGTCATAGAAGGTTATCGTTTATTAATCTATGTAGAAAGGAGTTTATAAATTTCTTCTTCTTTAATGATTAGATACGGTCAACTTGAAAATTTAACAAATCAAGGTGAAACCATGGTTAAACAAGGACATTTTGCAACAAGAAAAATTAATGATAGTCTTGATACGATCAAATTGAAATGGGATAATCTATTAGAAATGTCATCTAATCGTGCGGATAAATTAAATCAAACCCATGATTATTACCAATTCTTTTCTGATGCTGATGATATTGATACATGGATGCTTGATATGTTGAAACTTGTCTCAAGTGAAGATATTGGCCGTGATGAACCGTCAGCTCAAACATTATTAAAAAAACATAAAGATACACAAGATATCTTAGATAATTATCGGCAAACAATCGATAATTTAAAGTCAACAAATTTACAAGTTTTAACACCTGAAAAACAGAATTCACCTGATGTTCAACAACGTCTTCAATCAATTGAACGTCGTTATACTGAATTAATTGAATTATCAAAATTACGTAAACAAAAATTACTTGATGCCATATCATTATTTCGTCTATTGGCTGATGCTGATAATGTCGAAGCATGGATTGAAGAAAAAGAACGATTTCTAGCAACATTAGATCCAACACAAGTCAATGATATTGAAGAATTAGAAGTTATTAAACATCGTTTCGATGGTTTTGAACGTGATATGAATTCGACAGCATCAAAAGTTGCTATTGTCGGCCACCAAGCGCGTACATTAGTACAAAGTGATCATCCGAATTCACAGGAAATATTGGATCGTATTAATAGATTAAATCATAATTGGTCACAATTGAGACGTTTAGTTGATAAGAAACGAGACGATCTTAGTTCAACATTCGGTGTACAAACATTTCATATTGAATGTAATGAAACCATATCATGGATTCAAGATAAAATTCGTATTGTGCAATCAACTGAAGATTTAGGTAAATAGTTTTACAGTTCAAGTACGATGAAAATTTCACCTGAGTTCATACAATTTCTGACGGAGAAAAAGAAAGACAGGTTCGATAGACCAAAAAATGATAATTTGTTAATATTTCTGTTAACAAAGAAAAAATTGAAGATGACTTACCACCTTTTTTCAAGAAGAAAATGCACAGAATTGATATTTTCTCTTTCTTCAAGGTCGGGATCTTGGTGGTGTTATGACAATGCAACGTCGTTTAAGTGGTCTAGAACGTGACATGGCTGCTATACAATCGAAACTAGATCAACTTGAATTAGAAGCCACAAAACTTGAAAAAGATCATCCAGATGACGCAAAAAATATTCATAATAAAGTTAACCAAATAAGTTCGGTTTGGTATGAATTAAAAGAAATTCTACGTCGACGCGAAGAATCGATGGGCGAAGCAGCTGAATTACAGAAATTTCTTCGTGATCTTGATCATTTTTCTGCATGGTTAACACGTACACAAACATCGGTTGCTAGTGAAGATATTCCGAATTCATTAAATGAAGCTGAACAATTATTAAATCAACATCAAACAATTAAAGAAGAAATCGATCGTTATGGTCCTGACTATGCTCAAATGAAAGACTACGGCCATTCGGTTATACGTGATGCTGATACAACTGATCCACAATATATCTTCTTACGTGAACGTTTAAATGCGCTTGATGATGGTTGGAATGAACTTGATCAAATGTGGCATCAAAAGAAGAATATGTTAACAGAAGCCATGCAATTTCAAATGTTTGTTAGAGATTCAAATCAAGCTGAAATTTTATTAAATCATCAAGAAGCTTATTTAGCACGTGAACGTGAACAAAAACCCAAAACATTGGACGATGTTGAATCTCTCATGAAAAAACATGAAGACTTTTTTACCACTATGTCAGCAAATGAAGATAAAATACAAGGTGTTTGTTCATTTGCTCAACGTTTATGTCAAGAAAATCATTATCTAGGTATGTTTTCATTTTATTAGTACTTACAGTAAGCGAATCTTAGTCTACAGTAAAAATGTAAATATTCTACATTGATTTTTGTATCAGTTAAAATATGTTTCGGAATATGCCATCGCTGAATGTTCTACTTGCTATTCAATCGGACGACATGTTTTTACTCGTTAGATTGTCTCCTTTTTATGTTTGCCAAAAGAAATCTTACTATTTCAGAAACATTGAAATAAAACCTGCTATGGCTTGTTTATTCATTAAATAATTAGTATTTATTAGACATGAACTTTCATGGCTAAGGGGCTGCACTGTAAGGTATTATGTGTCCATATCAATATCAGCAGTGATGTGATGACTCTGAACAAATCAATAACGGCTGTTTTGTCTCAGATTATCTGTTTGATAACATGCAGCATATTTTATCACATACACCTACTCTTGTGGTTAGTTAGTATGTATTGAAGTGTGCAAAATCTCTGCGGAAGGTTGACTTTCGACGGAGAACTAATATTGATTCTAGCGAGAATATTGGGATATTGAATCTTTTTTTAGTTAGCCAAAAGTCAATGCTCTTCTTTCTTCTTCTTCTTGCTAAACATGAAAACCGTTTTTATCTTTAGTAGTTAAAAAGAAAACTATTTCTTCAAATTTTTAGGTGATCGCATTCTTACTCGTGCATCCGTAATCAACGATCGTTATGTAGCTAACCGTCAATATGCAGTTGAAATGAATGAAAAACTTCAAGAGTCACTTCAATACTTTCAATTTATTCAAGATTGTGATGATCTTAAAGAATGGCTTGATATGAAAACATTACAAGCTCAAGATGATACCTATCGTGATACCGCCAATATTCATACGAAATATCTTCGTCATCAAGCATTTCAAGCTGAAATATCATCAAATAAAGAACGTTTATCAGCCTTAAAACGGCATGCCGAACAATTACGAGAAGAACATCCACAACAAATCGATTTCACTGTTATTGATCAACGTATTAATGAATTAGATGATTCATGGTCAAAATTAGAAGAAATAACACGTGAAAAAGGTGAACGTCTATTTGATGCTAATCGTTCGAAATTATTTCAACAATCGATTACTAATCTTGATGAATTTATGCTAAATATTGAAAAACATTTATATGCTGGTGAACAAACAACACCAACAACTACAACTGCAGCAGCTCCAATAGATTCAACCGATAGTCAATTATTATCAACAACAACAACAACAACTCTTGAACCAGTAGAAAATAATTTAACTGCAACGAATCTTTTATTACTTAAACAAACAACTATCGAAGAAGAACTATTAAAACGTCAACAACAAGTTGATGAATTACGTGTTCAAGCTGAAAAACTAAAACAATTAGAACCAGAAAAATCCGACGAAATCGATACAAAACGTTTACAAGTTGAAGAGAAATTTTCTAAACTTTTATTACCATTAGAACAGAAAAAATTACGTTTAGAACAACAAAAACATCTTCATCAATATTTACGTGATATTGAAGATGAACAAATATGGTTAAGTGAAAAACGTCATTTATTACAAAGCTATTCTGATTTAATATTTAATAATAAACAACAAACATTAATGAATATTCAATTATTAAAACGTAAAAATGAATCATTATTAAAAGAAATTGAAAATCATGAACAACGTTTATTAGAACATTTAAATAACGAATGTATACGCATCAGTCAAGATTACCCATCACGTCAAGAAGAATTTCAAGAACGTTTACAACAATTATCAAATAATTATGTTGAATTAAAAGATACAATTAAACAACGACGCGAACATTTAGAATTATTAGAAAGTCTTTATCAATATTATTATGATTTAAGCGAAGCTGAAGCATGGCTAGGCGAACAAGAATTATATATGATGAGTGAAGAACGTGGCAAAGATGAATTAGCCACGCAAACCTTTATACGTAAACAACAAACAATCGATCAAACAATCGACAGTTATAGTAATATACTTTCGGAATTAAATGATCGTGCGAAAAACTTAGGCGACTCTTTAAATCAATCGGATTTATCATTGGATTTTGTTAATGAAAATAATGATTTAATTAATAAACGACAAACACAATTAGACAAATTATATGCCAGTTTGAAAGATTTATCTGTTGAACGTCGACAACGTTTAGATGAAACATTAAAACTGTATCGTCTCCATAAAGAAATCGATGATCTTGAACAATGGATATCCGATAGAGAATTAATTGCCGGTTCGCATGAACTCGGACAAGATTTTGAACATGTATCTATGTTACTCGATCGTTTTATTGCATTTGAACAGGAAACACAACAAATTGGCAATGAACGTTTACAATATGCAAATAATATGATCGATATTTTAATATCAAATGGTCATATTGATTCAGCGCAAATAGCTGAATTAAAAGATTCATTAAATGAATCATATCAAGATTTGTTAGAAATGATTGAAACACGTTTACAATCATTGAAAGCATCATGGGAATTACATAAATTTTTACATGATTGTAAAGAAATTTTATTGACTATGCAAGAACGTAAAAATTCTATACCCGACGAAATCGGCCGAGATCAACAAGGTGTACAACAATTATTACGTAAACATCAACAATTTGAAACTGAACTAGTTCTATTAGCACAAGATATACAACGTATACAACAAGAATCGAAACGTTTGAATGGACGTTATGCAGGAGAGAAAGAAGCTGAAATAAAACAAAAAGAATATGATGTTTTAACACAATGGAAATTGTTACAACAATTTGTCGATCAACGAAAACGTCTACTAAATGATTATGAAGATCTACATCGATTCTTTAATTTAGCAAGAGATTTAAATATGTGGATGGATGTAATGATTAGACAAATGAATAATAGTGATAAGCCACATGATGTTAGCGGAGTTGATTTATTAATTAATAATCATCAGAGCTTAAAAGCTGAAATCGATGCTCGACAAGAAAATTTTACTATGTGCATTAATTTAGGTAAGTTAATTAGTTAATCATTGATTCATTCATTAAGACATCGAGGAAAATCACCAGTTGAGAGTATTTGAAAGTTATTATTAAAAGAAAGATAACCTGAAAGATTGAATTTTTTTTTGTTCCGGTTTCTAGACATTTCATATTATGATTTTTCTTTCAGGAAATGTTTCATCTATGATTTCTAATGTCTTATGTATGAATAATTTTTCTATGAGTTTTATGTTTGTTTAGGTAAAGATTTAATTAATCGGCGTCATCCTCGTTCATCAGAAGTAAAAGAAAAATGTGTTCAACTATCTATGTTACGTGATCAAGTTGATGATACATGGAATGAACGTTTCGAATATTTACAACTTATCTTAGAAGTTTATCAATTTGCACGCGATGCAGCCATCGCTGAAACATGGTTAATTGCTCAAGAATCCTACTTAAATAATGAAGAACTTGGTGAAACATTAGATCAAGTTGAAAACTTAATAAAACGCCATGAACAATTCGAAAAATCTTTATTAGCACAAGAAGATCGTTTTAATGCCTTACGTAATTTAACAACATTAGAAAAGAAACGACAAATGCCACCAGTTGAACCACCTCAAAGTCGTCTACCTGCTTATCTAGAAGAATTTAAAACATGGCAAGAACGTGATGCTGAACAAGCATTAACGGATAAATCGAAATTTAAATCAATAGCCGAAGAAAATACATCAACCGATGGTGGTCGTTCAGGAATGTTATCGGGTAAACAATCTAGTCAAGATTTCGATTCAAACAATAATAAACAACGACGATCAGAATCAGCGACACGCTTATTAACAATAAAAGAAGGTTTCTTATCACGTAAACATGAATGGGAAGGACATGAACGTAAAGCAACACATCGTGCATGGGAAAAATATTATTCTGCTTTAACAAGCAATCGCTTGTTATTCTTCAAGGATGCTAAACATTTAAAATCAGGTCGTACAGCTACCGATGACTTTCAACTTGATTCATCAACAAGTACTGCACCAGCAACTGATTATCGTAAAAAACCAAATGTATTTCGATTGAAATTTCAAGATGGAAATGAATATTTATTTCATGCTAAAGATGATACAGAAATGAATGAATGGATTACAGCAATAAATAATACTATTTCATCATTACCATCAACAGTAACTGGCGCAACAGCAGTTGTAACACAAATACCATCCATTGCTTTGACATCACCAGCAACAACAACGAAGGGATCAGCATCATCAGCAACTAGTTCTCCACACCACCCGCCAACATCTGTGATGATATCAAGTACATCAGGTAACTAAACACTTGAAGTCCGTAAGATCAGTTCGGTTAAAATTAGAGCGTCAAGAACTCTGATAATTAGAAAACAAGTATCTGGAGTTTGTGATTTTCCGAGTGATAGAACAAACAAAGTTATATGCAAAGAATCGAATTTCTCCTTACATAGACCAGAGCTACCCGTTCATTTCAATGTTAAAGAGTCAAGTAAAAACACAAAATGAAACAAATGTCCTAGTGATTAACAATAATAATTAAGTTATCTTTCATATTTTCATTCCACAAACACGATACTCACAACTATTTTATTCAGACAAGGATATTTCAGTATTTCGAATCAAACCATAGAGCATTCGATTCTTAATTAGAATAACGGTTATTTTGACGACTACAACTCTATTGATTACAAAGAAAAATTTCAAATTCTTTTACTGAAATATTATTTAGGCATTCAAACGTCTCAATCTTCATCAAGCAACGAACCAAAATCACGAACATTACCATTACGTTCAAGTTCATTAGTTGAACCTCAAGTTTCATCGAGTTCATCACAACAACCACCAGCAGGCAAAAAGAAATCAGGTGGATTTTTTTCAATGAAACGAAAATGAACAGAGAATGACATAGTACACATACAAACTTTTCTTATACCTGATCAGGGCCTTTTTCGTATTTGTTTATTTCTTTATTTCGGTCATAAATGATCATTTTCATCAAATGAATTTCTATAAATCATGGTTTCAAAAGAGTCTCCTGATTTATTATACAGATATATATAATGAATCGTTAATGAAATAGAAAAAATAATAACAATAACATCACATGGTACAACTAGTCATTCTTAATTTCTCGTTATACGAGATTAAATTTTATCATGAATCATTCTCTATTTCGTAGTTCTACTCAAATATTGGGCACTTTTATTTCTTTTGGGCTAACTTGTGTGGTGTGTGTGTTTTCTTCCATTATTTAGCAACACAATATTTTGCTGTGCTCAGATTTTTTTTTTTGTTTATGTAGATTATCGCAGTTTTCTTTTGTTCTCTCCTCAATTATATATAGTTATCTTTGATCTCTTTTGTTTTTTCTTTCATATATTATTTGAAAAAGAAAGAAACGAAGAAGGAAAACTAAACTAATCAGAAAAGCGAACAACTTTTCTGTTCTCTTTTTTTACTACTGTTCTTGTTGTTGTTGTGTGCTGTTCGATGGTGATTTTTTTTACACTATTTTTTTTCTTTCTCTATCTATCTTTATTTCTTGGTTGCTCACATAATGTGTGTATTCGTTGTTTTGCTTTTGCGTTTTGTCTTTTTTTTTCTTTCTTTCTCTCTCTCTCTCTCCTCACTTTGCTGAAATTATATCATTATTACTTTTCGAATAAGAAAATAAAAGAGAACAAAAAAAATAATTATACGTCTCGAATGATTTTTCTCGGTGATTATGCGATGAAGCATGACACTATTTAAAACAATGCGGTGAAATTTTTTGGTGGTGCAATCTTGTGTGTAAAAGCTTAGAATAGAAGTTTGCATAAAATAACTGTAAAGTTGGCACTTCGGAGGAAGTTTCTTCCTCTATTTTGGCGAATCTTTGCCTTTCTTCAAAAGAGTATCAATGGTTTATTGTTGTTGTTCGATATCCCTAGTTCTGCTGAATTCAGGGTATATCTGTGTAGAAAATTTATAAAGTGCATAAAAAAATATGGTAGAAGTACTTTATTGAAAATTTTAATACTTTGCCTCTATCGTTTTGAGTTCAATTTAAAAGGCGTTTCAACGCTTTCGCTCTTTCGCCTATGTAAAAGATAACCAACGCCGTCGTATTAATCATCAATGAGCGTATCTTTCCTTCTATAACAACTTATCAAAATCAAACACATGAGCGAAAAAGCATCCACATCTGATTGGATCGATTTTCACTGGCGACCTCACAATAAGCGAGAGCTGCTGTATATCAACGAGTACACATCATTAATCATTAAAATATCATTTATATCTATATATTAATTAATGTACTGCCCTGCATTGCGATCAAACCTCACCTGCGCTGAAATGTTGTCTGAAAATATATGCCTTCGATTATCGATTACACGAATGCCATCTTATGGAAGAGAACAATCTACGTCAAACTTTACTAAGCACGATCTTGAAACCTTGATCTTGTTGCTCGAGACTTTTTAGTATTGCTTTCTTATAAATTCTTTCTTATTTTCTTCTGACTTCTTTCATTTGGGCTTCGTCATGTTCCTTTTTTTAAATTTTTTCGAAAGGCAAATTCACAATTTCCTTTAACGACTGAAATAGTCATAGATGCCTATTCAATCGTACATATGTATACATATTCTTTTTCTAGTATTCATATTATTTTGTAAAGTGATATGAAAATGAAGCAGACGTTGGATATGATAAATCAGCTATACTAAAGAGTTGGTATTTACTAGAAACTTGTTGATCTCAATTACAATTGATAATGAGCAAATTATATTCGTCTATTATCGCAAAATATTTCGATGAGTCACATAAAACTCAACCACGTAATGTCATAATCGGTCGACCTGATTTAAATACTATTCGATATCCGAAAAATGTCATTCGTAACCAAAAATATAGCATAATAACATTTATTCCACTTTGTCTTTATGAACAATTTAGTGTATTTCTTAATCTTTATTTCCTTATTATTGGATTGTCACAATTTATTCCAATGTTTCGTGTTAACTATTTTTTTACATATATGGCACCATTGGCGTTTGTCGTATGTGTATCTATGCTACGTGAAGGATACGAAGATATTAAAAGGGCATATCGTGATAGAGAAATCAATTCTCAAATATACACATTGTTAACTGAAAATGGACACCGTGAAGAAAAATTGAGTTCCGAAATAAAAGTATCTGATATTATTATTCTACGAAAAAATCAGCGTGTACCTGCTGATATACTTCTCTTACAAACATTAGACAAATCAGGTAAATATAAAGAGCAAGCATAGTTTGTCATTGTTTATTCGGTTGCTGATTGTAAATCGCTCAAAGTTCAAT